TGTGGACCGACTCAGTTTATTGTGCTCAAAAAAAGGCAATTACAATGTTAATGTGTCGCAGCAGGAGAATGAACCCGACCTGGACCGGGAGGAGGACGGGATGGAGAGAGCAGAGTCACCGTGGGTTAACTGGAAACGGTGTCTGGGGAGCATTCAGTGTAGATAGATAGATAGATAGATAGATAGATAGATAGATAGATAGATAGATAGATAGATAGATAGATAGATAGATAGATAGATAGATAGATAGATAGATAGATAGATAGATAGATAGATAGATAGATAGATAGATAGATAGATAGATAGATAGATAGATAGATAGATAGATAGATAGATAGATAGATAGATAGATAGATAGATAGATAGATAGATAGATAGATAGATAGATAGATAGATAGATAGATAGATAGATAGATAGATGGATAGATAGATAGATAGATAGATAGATAGATAGATAGATAGATAGATAGATAGATAGATAGATAGATAGATAGATAGATAGATAGATAGATAGATAGATAGATAGATGATAGATAGATAGATAGATAGATAGATAGATAGATAGATAGATAGATAGATAGATAGATAGATAGATAGATAGATAGATAGATAGATAGATAGATAGATAGATAGATAGATAGATAGATAGATAGATAGATAGATAGATAGATAGATAGATAGATAGATAGATAGATAGATAGATAGATAGATAGATAGATAGATAGATAGATAGATAGATAGATAGATAGATAGATAGATAGATAGATAGATAGATAGATAGATAGATAGATAGATAGATAGATAGATAGATAGATAGATAGATAGATAGATAGATAGATAGATAGATAGATAGATAGATAGATAGATAGATAGATAGATAGATAGATAGATAGATAGATAGATAGATAGATAGATAGATAGATAGATAGATAGATAGATAGATAGATAGATAGATAGATAGATAGATAGATAGATAGATAGATAGATAGATAGATAGATAGATAGATAGATAGATAGATAGATAGATAGAGAGATAGATAGAGAGAGAGATAGAGAGAGAGATAGATGATAGATAGAGAGAGAGATAGATAGATAGAGAGAGAGAGAGAGAGAGAGAGAGAGAGAGAGAGACTCACTTTCTCCATCTCTGTCTTCTCTTTGTCTTTCTCCCCTTTTCTCTCTATCTCTCTCCCCCCTCTTTCTGTCTCTTTCTCCCTTTCTCTCTCTCTCTCTCCATCCCTCCCTCTCTCTCCCTTCCTCGCACCCCACCCCCCACCCCACCCTTTGTGCTAACCCTCCTGGGAGCCCATCATAATAAGCCATTAAACAGTCGCATTAGGAGTAATGAAAAGGCTCTTAGTGCTTTTTACCACCGGGCCAGCTGGATGTGTCTCTCTGGAAGTGAGCAGTGGAAGTGACTATCTGATGGTTCCGCTGCAGCAGAGGAAGAACACGCCTTTGCATTTACTTAGCTGTCAGTTTCATAAACCAGACTATAAAAAACTAAATGCATCCATCTCATACAGAGGAACAGATTTGTCCCTTAAGTCCTCAGGTTTGTATGACAGCATCTTCATGCCACTTTAAAGAGGAAAATAAGGAGAAAGCAACTTGAATAAAGTGGAAATAAAAGAAAACCTGGCATGACTGTTGTTCTGGTATTTTGGTGTAACCGAGCATTCTTTATTGAGTGAACTAGAAAATGTTTATGTTTAGGAGGAATTGCAGTTATATTCCATCGCAACCATAGCCGAACCCAAATAACTGTTATTCAGTCCTTCAGAATAAGAGTCTCAGACAAATAGGCTACCTGAAAACAGCTGATGTTTATAAAAATGGGATTATTGTTATGATGATGATGTGAATGTTTGAGGCTCTCATGGTGAAGGAGTGATTAAAGGTCTTGGAGTTTTGTATATGCATATTGCAAAATACAATGCTTCCTAATTAATAATAGGTCTATTTCACACACACACACACACACACACACACACACACACACACACACACACACACACACACACACACACACACACACCAATAACTCAGAAAAGTGACAAAGATAATTGAAACAGACACATTTTTCTCTTCATCTTTTTTACTTTAACCTCCACTTCCTCCTCTTTCTTCAGGTGTGGTTAAAACTTTGTTAAAGTGATCTTCATATCAACAAACACGTTAGTCAACACAGCATTAGCTATAGAACCTGGTTATTTTTTAACTTTAAGCTCATCCTGGTTTTAATTCTAAAATCCAACTGACAATTTATGTGTAAAAATGTTAAACTCTGGTATTTTCAGAAAAGATGTCAAAAGAAATTTTGTCCATATTCATGTTTAGTATTAAAAAAGTAATTTTCTTGATTACGTCACTAAAATTTGACTGAAACTTCTAAAACAACAAAATAATAAAAAGTCAAATAATGTGTTTAAAAGTCGCTTCCTGTCTCACTTTGGATGCTGCAGACTCTCTCCATGGTGCTGAATCCGCTGAACTGATATTTCAACATTTCTTCCTTTGCGCGCTTTAGACACAGATTGCACTAAAACGGCTCAGCGCAAACAGCTCCACTCACAGACGGCGCTGCTACCTGTGATTGTGATGCAAATGTTAATGGACTCTGAGCTCCTCTGATTAGCCTGATGTGGACTAATTTCCCCCCTCCGCGGTCCCCAGAGAACGCAGAGAGCCTTTTCACGGCCCCTCTCCACCGAGGAGTGTTGATGTTTTTTTCTGCCTCGCTGCTCTGATGGATGGACGCAGCAGCCAGACCATCATGGGTTAAATGGCAGGTAATGTTGCACAGAATGGGCGCTTCACTATTCAGGATCAGGAGGATACTCTTGAGCAATCGCAGCGATTGCGCATTTGATTTGCGCTCTTTTACTGGCTCAGAGAAGAGCGCAGCGTGGCACTGTCTCCTATAAACACAGACGCGATGAGGTCTAGGGTCAAAAAAGGCGTGAAATTTTATTTTATGTTTTCCTCTTTATTTTCTTCTTTTTTTATTTAGGGAAAACTATTCCAAGAAGTCACAGAATATGTATGTGTTAAAGATCGTGCGTGGGGAGAAAGGAGGTCGGGGGGAGTGTGGGGGAGTCATGTGGAGGATGGGGAATGATTACATGAAGGCGGAGAACCGTGTGCCAGCTCACCCATGTAATGCGAAAAGGGGGGAGTCGGAGAGCTGAAATACTGAGGAAGAGGAGGAAGAGGAAGAGGAAGAAGAGGAGTAGGCACTAGAGGAAAATGGTTTCATCCCAGATCACACAATGCCATTTTGGATTTGTCTTTAAATCACAAAGAGACAGAAGTGGACATGAGACATGTGGGTCAAAGAGAAGAGATAAGAGCTGCGATTTGTCACATCTTCATCCACAGAGGGGGGGTCCTCCTGGGACTTCAGACCATTTCCTTCTGATGACTCTGGGGATGGGTGATAAACTGGGGACACTGGTTTCCACCATCAAACTGTGTCAACTCCCATTATCATTATTATTATTATTATTATTATTATTATTATTATTATTATTATTATTATTATTATTATTATTATTGGTTGGGTGGGGTCGTGAGGAGGTAACTCGCTGCCCGGTTGGTTGGTGGGGTTGCTCTTTTCAGCCGCTCGGAGCTGCTGATCAAAGGAGGTCTGCAGCGCGCTGATAACAGCCTCCGTCTCTTTCATTCAGCGCGAAAAGCAGCAACCATTTTGGCTCTCATCACTCTAAATGCTGTTTTTAAGAAACAGACACAGAACGGACAAGGTAGAAACGCAGCGGCCTGATTTTGTATCGGTGTTTGATTCGTAGGCCTGATTATTCTCGGCCTGAGTCCACTCAGCATGTCACCGTGATGCGTTTTGATTTTGATGTGGATTTTTTTTAAAAGCTATCCTAAAAAATACAATTTCTAAATGTTTCACCGTTTTTCAATTTAATTTAGGAAAATAATGTAATTATTAACAGAAACGCTCATTTTCCTCTAGACAAATTAGAACCAAGTTTCAAAATTAATTCTGTTTTTTTATGTAGTAGGATTATCTTTTGACCCACAGCTGATGTTGGTGAAGGAACCACATTCAGACATTTTTAGCTCTCCAGAATAAAAATGTCGGCTAGTTTACACCAGGCTCTGGTGTTTGGAGGCCGCAGCACGAGCTGTAATCCTGCAGCCTGAGGTGAACATGGAGAGGATTAACCACAGCAGACTGTTTAAAGCAACACGAGTCCGAACTTGAAATAATTAAATTTGTCTTAAGAATAATCCTAAAATGTGACTTAATTTTCATTTTCCAGAAAAATCTAATTAAACAGTGTTTTAAGAAGAGAAACAAACTTAAGATTCGTGTTTTTAAAGAGAATATATATTCAAATAAATCCTGTTTTGTAAAGAGCAAACGGTCCTGCTCAGAAAGCCTTTTCTGAATAGGGACAGGGTTCTGCAGCTCTAGAGTTCTGAATGAATGCGTGAATGAAAGGATGGTTGAATGGATGAATGGGTCAAATTCAAAGTTTCTCTTTTCTAAGATTAGAAATTGTGCCATCTTAAAATCTTAATCTTACCACAATTTAGCCAAAAGCAAAATGCACAAAACCATTCCCCCTGATCATCACCGAACCCATCACGGTTATTAAACTCGATCCAATAGTCCCAGAAGAGTTTTGAGGTCACCAGTGCGACGCTCCTCATCCTCTTTCTTTATTTTTAAAATAATACGTCTTAAACATCTCGTTGTTCCATAATTTATTCCAAGGATCTTGGAGATTCTTCACATTTCAGCCTCCATTTATACCCCTGAAGTTATGCAAGATCTGAGGCCCCCGGAATGCCATTGGATGTTGGGATGAGGTATTATGGGTTGGGGGAGAGGTGTGGGGGTCTTGCAAGCACCTCCCCTAGAAATGCAGCAAATCTCTCCCATTTTCTCCTGGTGGGGTACTGGGAGGGCTGGAGACGTGATTTGCATTGGCAGGCAGATGAAGACACGTGTCTCCTCCCTGCCTCCCCCGCCGGGCTCCACGGTACCGCATTGGCATCAGTAAAGGCACCTGAACACCGGCGAGTAACACCAGAGAAGGCTGCTTTCCACATTGCAGCTCCTTTAAAAAAGGAGAGACAGAAAGGAAAACACAGAAGGAACCTGTGGCTCACCTTGTTTGTCGTGCGTAAAGCTTTTGCGCACAGCGCCGAGCCGCCTCGGAGTGTGGAAAAAAGGTGCGTCGAGCATCAGAGCGCGGTGCCAGGATGCATAAACGGAGCGGCGCCGTCTGAAGGTGACATGAACCTGGAGATAATCAAGAGCATCAGCCGCACACTAAACAAAAAGTGGAGATAGCAACTGAGAAACCGTCGGTGTCTTGAAACCAAACTTTCCCTCCCGTGGCTTTCATCTCATGTAGAGAAAAGGGAGCTGCAGTCCAAAGTAGCCTCGTTTTAACTGACTGGAGAAGAAAATAAACTCTAATCAAGCAAAGGACAATTTAGAGTCAGCAAAGAAGCAACAATGGCGACTTTAATCAGAGGCAAGCTCTCTAACAAACTGTCAAACGCAGCCACGGCGGTGTCCAACAAATCCCAGGCAAAGGTGAGCGGGATGTTCGCCAGGATGGGGTTCCAGGCCGCCACCGACGATGAGGCGTTGGGCTTCGCCGCCTGCGACGACCTGGATTACGACCACCGACAGGGCATGCAGATGGACATTTTAACTTCCGATGAGATCGGAGGCGAAGGGAGCGGCGACGGAGACGCGCTGGATGGGGACAGCCACTACCAGAGGGACGGCACCGGTCCACCGTTGTCTGCCTCCAAGGACGGAGGTCCGACCAACGAGCTGAGTGAAGTCAGACCAAAAATCACCGCATGGGAGGCGGGTTGGAACGTGACAAACGCGATCCAGGTAAAAGACGCGCAGCCCGGGGCTGTAGACGGGCGGCTCCGGTTCTAATTGGCTGAGCCGCCTTTAGAGCGACTGTGAAATTCGAGATGAACGCACACCTGCGCGCGTTTAGGAGGTGCAATATTCAAACAGGCCCAAAACGCACAATCGGTTTTGTGCAAAAAATGAGACTTTAGAAAACTGGATCGTATTTAGAAAAATACGATTTTTTGATGGTTGCTGAAAATGGAGGTAGATGTCCTCCACCCCCTCCCCTCAACCCACACATTCTTTGTCCAGTGTCACTGATGCATGTCCACGACAGCGCCAATATTCTGCATGGTGATGAGGAAAAACATTGTGCACTTTTTCAGTTAATAGAAAACCATTTTTTATTTCAACGTCGTAATTTTACAGGCTCCGTTATACCAATCACCTTAAATTCCTCCACTATCAGCAGCTTTATTAATTGTCTGTGGAAAAACGGGTTAAGTTGGCCAAGTTCACATATTTGCTTAAAAATATGCAATATTTTTCCTAAAAACCCAGAAATGTGCAGGAATAACGCGCCGGTGGATCGTGTGCGCGCGCAGCCGCTGTTCCCTTGAGCGTGGGGGGCTATGCGACAAAACTCCCTCCACGCGCAGTCCCGGGTATGCAGTCACGGCAGTCGCTGTGACGTCAGAATGTGTCTCCTCCAGCTCGTGATCACGTCAAAGGCGCGCGTAGGCGCTCAAAGCGAAGTGGAAAACCCAGCTGGGGAGCCGCGAGGCGCTTCCTCCACATTCCATATGATAATCATGTTTGGAACAAGGACCAACATGTGCAATTTTACGACTTTTATAATGTTTCCTCCTTCTCTCTTCCTCTTTAGGGGATGTTTGTTCTCGGGTTGCCCTACGCCATCCTGCACGGAGGATACCTCGGACTCTTTCTCATTATCTTCGCCGCCGTGGTGTGCTGCTATACGGGCAAAATCCTCATCGCCTGCCTGTACGAGGAGGACGAAGACGGGCAGCTGGTCCGTGTCAGGGACTCCTATGTGGACATTGCCAATGCCTGCTGCGCGCCCAGATTCCCGAGTTTAGGAGGCCACGTGGTGAATGTAGCCCAGATCATAGAGCTGGTGATGACGTGCATCCTGTACGTGGTGGTCAGCGGTAACCTCATGTACAACAGCTTCCCGAACTCGCCCCTTTCCCAAAAATCGTGGGCCATCATCGCCACCGCCGCTCTCCTTCCCTGCGCCTTCCTCAAGAACCTGAAAGCCGTCTCCAAGTTTAGCTTGCTGTGCACGCTGGCGCATTTTGTCATCAACATCCTGGTGATAGCCTACTGCCTCTCGCGGGCCAGGGACTGGGCATGGGATAAGGTCAAGTTTTACATCGATGTCAAGAAGTTCCCCATTTCCATTGGGATTATCGTTTTCAGCTACACCTCGCAGATCTTCCTGCCGTCCCTGGAGGGGAACATGCAGAAACCGAGCGAGTTCCACTGCATGATGAAATGGACTCACATCGCTGCCTGCATCCTCAAGGGCCTGTTCGCACTGGTGGCCTACCTGACCTGGGCTGACGAAACCAAGGAGGTCATCACAGACAACCTGCCCCCAACGATCCGAGCTGTTGTCAACATCTTCCTAGTGGCCAAAGCTTTGCTCTCGTACCCGCTGCCGTTTTTCGCCGCTGTCGAAGTTTTAGAGAAAACCTTTTTCCAGGATGGGGGACGCACGTTCTTCCCGGACTGCTACGGAGGCGACGGACGCCTTAAATCCTGGGGACTGACTCTCCGATGTAGCCTTGTTGTGTTCACCTTGCTCATGGCGATCTATGTGCCACACTTTGCCCTGCTCATGGGCCTTACGGGCAGCCTTACGGGCGCTGGCCTCTGCTTTCTGCTTCCCAGCATCTTCCACCTCAAGCTTCTATGGAGAAAGCTGCAGTGGCACCACGTTTTCTTTGACGTCTCCATCTTTGTCATAGGAGGTATATGCAGCATATCCGGTTTCATCCACTCGCTGGAGGGGCTCATAGAGGCTTTCAGAGACAACATAGAAGACTAGACGCGATGCCATTGTTGGAACTAGGTGTTAAAACTGCAAATCCCACCCCCTATCCCTCCCCATTCAGTGAAAACAAACACACGGCGAGCACTGCTACCCCCTTTCTGCTTGATATTCATGCGTAAAAGCGCGCACAGTGCACATGTGGGTATTTTCATGCATCCTCTCTCTCGCGCGCGCACACACTAACACACGCAAATAACGTTTATGGCAGGGAGGGATTCAGACGCATCCACGAGGACAGACATAACTTATATACATATGCGAACATACATTTTTTCCCTAGTGGAGTGAACGTTTACAATTTTAAATAAGGTTGCAAAATGGGCAGTTCATTTTGCCTGTGCGTCGCTAGTGCGGTACTTCCCCACATGGGGCTTTGTGTTTGTGATTTAACGATTAGACACGCTCAATTTAAAGGAATAGAAGGTTAAAAATGGACTGATTGGGGCGTTAAAGCCTGGAAAAAAGCTCCAGAGAAAAGCAAAAGCTGCAATAGTTACAGGAAAAACGTGGCTGCATCGAGAAGGAAAAATATGAAAAAAATCTGCATATTCTCAAATAAAATCCTTGCAAAGTAACTTATAGGATGATAAACAGCAGCTATACAAACTATGCATTGAATGTACGAAAAAAATAAACTGGGAGGTTGAAATATTATTATAAAACTCTAAAATTTAGATGAATTCCTTTATGTTCATGCTTTGGTAGGCCTTCTCCACACACTTTTATGTTCTGAGCTTTTCAATAAGCAATAATAATAATAATAAAAATCCCTTCATCATGGCCTAACCTATCCATGTGGAGACCCTGAAATCAAAATACTGCACACTCGATCTGCATTTTAGATCCACAAGGCCTGTTTCCTGAGATTAATAATAATGCAAAAGAACTTATCCTGAAAATCCGATGTCTAAGAAAAAGAGGATTTAAAAGAAATGTGAGATTGTCAAAGAGGAAAATGTGCATACAGACATTTTTCATTCTGTGCAATCCAATGGGTCCTGTGGAAATGTTATTAAAAACCGTATGTGTAATGTGTTATTGTGGTTTCAACAAGATGGAATGTATATCTCAAAGTGGTTATCATATATTGTGAAATTAATATTGAAGAATAAAGAAATAAGTGAAATTATATTGTAAAAATGTGTGTGGTTTTATGTAAAAGAAGAAAACGGTCAGAACGTGTATTTTTTCTCTTTAATAAAAGTCAGAAAAACGATGAAAATCGAAGTCATATTTTTAATCGAGTTTAAATCGCGGCAGGCCAATGAGAGGAAATGAATAACAGTATGATTGCATCTCTCTGTTGGTCTTTTTAAAAAGTAGAGAAACTCAACGTCTGAGCACATTTGGACAGATTTCCTGCTGCAGGCAGCATCAGGCCTTCTGGCCGACCTGTTCGTTCACTCTGTTGAGTTTTTCCAGCGCGTGCAGGCAACATCTGCTCCAGTCGTTTATTTCCGAGTGGCATCATCCGAAGGCTGATAGAGGAGGCGCGCGCATGACGACGCGCACGCACACACACACACAGCAGTTGCATGCCATTTTTTTCAGAAAGCAGCAGTAAAGGTCTGTTTTCTTCATCTTGGATTGCAAATTTAACACACACACACACACACACACACACACACACACGCGTGCGCGCACACACACACACACACACACACACACACACACACACAAATAAGTACATAAATTGCCAATTCTGCTTACGAGCTGTAAATCAGTTCTGTCATGTTTTGTCCTGGGTCGCCCCCTAGTGAACAAGTTGGTTAACTACACCCAAAAGTAACTTGTTTATCTTGCCACAATTTACTGGCCAGGCAAGCCAACATGTATGGATGAATATACAGTCTGGCCATTACATAAGTAAATAAATGAAATACAAGTAAATGGGGCTATAAAAGTTATTTTCTAATCTGCTTTGCCCCAAATCATATGTATGTTGTACTTTAATTTAAATGAAAATAAATAGTGTTTCAACTATGTCCATCAAGTACTTAGAGATTTAATAGCTTTTAAAAATTGTTATTAAAGGCACACAATGTACATTTTTCATATTTTAAAATCATTTTCTTTGAGCAAATATGTGCTAAAATAACCCTTTACACTGGGTTAAAGAAAAATCACTCAGACTCCACCACACTTGCAACTTCAGAGTATCCCGGTCCTTGTAAATCAATAGTAAAGTGGAGCTGACATGCTAGCGCTGCAGTCTGCTTCCAGCACATGATTCCTACATAGTTTAGATCATGAACACAGCTGATTGGTTTTAGTGATGAAACGCTCTGACACTAACGAAGGCTAAGGAGACATTTCAGTAGTTAGGTGAAGGTGTTAAAAACACGATTGCGCAAAGAAGAGTTTCACTTTTGGGTTTATGACAGTGAATTATTAATAGTCTCTAGGGGTGCTCAAAGTAAGCCAAAACTACCAATTGTGTCTTTAAACTTATTTTCTTTCTCCTCTTCTCCATGTTTGATTACATCAATTTGGTAATGAAGTATTTTCACACAAAACCTAAAATAACTTCTGCCGCCTATCATCATCAGTGCTTTCCTGGCATCAAAACATGTTTTTAAAATACACAGACATATTAAGAGAAATCTGTTGCACACAAGAAAATACCATCCCCTCATAGATCCCCATTCATTATTTGGGCAGTTGTGGACCCATGGTCCAGAAGTAGATGGGTGTGACATGTACGTTAACACATGCTTTTTTATTAAATAAAGGACATAAGAACCTTTATCTGCTCGTGACTCACAGAAAAGTCCAAGTCAGCCCAGTTCATTACACACATCCTTCCTTATGAATGCAGTCAGACACTTTCCTCCTAGGTATTCAGCGTTATAATGAACTGGTTTAAGCTGTAAACCCACTGGGCTGATTAATCGGAGGCTTCCCCTATTGGGAAGTATGAATTTGAGCTGGGCTATCAGTAAGCAGTGTGTGTTCTGGCCCTGGTCGGCCTGAAGCAGGCCACCTCGGGAAAAGGGCTGAAATAGTCCAGTTGCACCCCAAAAAAGGCAGGCTATACTAATGTGGACACTCTCTGTGCTATCCAGAGCATGCAGAGCTGATGCTAGTGGGAAAGGCCCATAATGGGAGCGTAACTAAACAGACGGTCTAGATTTCTAGGCTAATGATTTTCTGGTGTATATTTTATATTTTTTTACTGGTTTTAAAGAGACAATGTGTAGTTTTTACCATAAATTTCTGGAAACACCCATCAAAATGTTGTTGAAAATGAATAAAATGATGCCCAGTTGGTGAAAAATATTGGCAGCTTTGTAACATAACCATAAAAATCAGGTCATGGGAGTGGGTCTAAGTCTCTGGGCGACACCATATTAGATGCCATGTTTCCTTCTACGGGAGCCCATGAGGACAAAATGCATTTACTGATTTGTAACAAACGGTTACGACATGTTCTCCATCCATAAATGTTTTTCAAATCTACCTCTTCGCTTGTTGCCAGTGATGAATGGGAGTCTGATGTGCTTGTTATTTTGTCAAAGTTTGCATTCTCTAGGGCTTTTTGACCCTAATGGGCATCCGTTGGTAATGTCTTACTCCAACACAAAAATACTGCTTTCATGCAATGATTTAGGAATCTACTGCCCCCATCACCAGGAAAAATGCACACCATTACTTTAAGTAAAGCAGTCACTCAATGAATTTTATATTAAAACATTTTCTTCAGAAATCCAACTAATGTGATCTGAACCATCACTTGTGATAAAAATTTACTTAGAGCTACAATAAATGATGTGAGATGTTGAAGACAAGACAATACAGATAATTTAGTTAAACCTTTTAAAGAAAACTTTATTTTTTACTGAAACCAACATGCTCAAAGTTAGAGCTCTCTAGCGCCCTCTGCTGTCTCACATCTGTGCAGAAATAAAAAAATAACCTACTTCTCTCAGGTTTTCTGAACTTCAAGCAACACATTTAAAAAAAGTCTTGTTTGCTTATTTCAAGTAACCTTTCATAAAAAGCACAAAGATTTTCATAATTATTACATTTTAAATATTTACAAACAGGATGTCGTTGAGAAGAGAAATAATTCAGGATACGGTAAAAGCAGACAAAACAATGTGGCTCAAGATTCTGTAAAATAACAGGAAGTGGAAAAGTCGAGTAATCAAAGCAGGTTCTGACAAATCAGCTTACAACTGATGCTCAGAGGTCAAAGCCGATGGTGCTTTGTGGTACACTCCATCAGGAAAACCCTCACTGACTGGTCTCCTCGGCATTCAGAGTCACGGGCTTCTTGGTGGAATATTCTAGCACCCAAGGGTGGGACAGGACTCCCTGGATGGGCAATCTGTGCATGGGATTGTGCTTCAGCAGCCTCGCTACCAAGTCTTTGGCTCCAGCACTGATACTGGTCTGTGGAGGATATGTGTACTCCACCTAAAGGAGGGAATGAAATCATGACAGGTAGAATCGTAAATAACAGAAGCTGTGAATTAGCAGTTTTAATAAGGACAGAATTGTACATATTTACTCATAGTTTTAATACATTTGCAGCAATTTCTAGCTGGAATTAATGCGTTGTAAGTTGTTGACTGCAGAAAAAAAGCTCCAGAGCGCCTGTTTCAGCACGGAGAATTCCAGTTAGAGAAAGTAGCTTCAGATGGCAGGAATGAGTTTTATTTCCTGATATTTGAACACCATACCTCTGATTGGATAACAGCAATGCGACTTCACCACTGACTTCCTTTGCAACACCGATGTTTTACCTCCAAAAATAACAAGTCTGAAGGAGTTCTGCCATACTGCGGAATTGCTATTGCTAACAGTTAGCTTCTGCTAGTCGAGACGTTCTCTGCTGTTTCCTGGACACTAAATAAACAGCTTTTGCCGCCACGAGTCAAGATGAGTGAGTCCATGAATGTCAAGATTTTCTGAGCAGAGGTTTTTCTGTCTATTTTCTATCAGAAGCTAATGCAGGAGATAGGTGAAGACAACTATTTTCATGTTTAGGCTACACGTGAAACTTGGACACTGATCATTTTCTAAAATAAGTAAAAAACTGTTTCTCAGTGAGCCTGGCCTTTAAGTCTGCAGATCTGTACACAACAGAAATAAAACTATTTTAGGAAAACATCCAACTGATTTCCTTACAGAAAGTACAATTTCAATTTGATTCACAATTAACTCGACCCAGCTTTAGCACAATGTACAGTAACAATAACATGCCAGATTATGACATCATGACCAAGAGTGTACGGTCGGTAAAGACGGCTCTCCCTTGCCCAACCTCCATCTAAAAGGCTAGGTTATCCAGAGTTATCTCTGTAGTTATGCTGCTATAGGCTTAGACTGCTGGAGGATACACTGACCACTTTCCACACTCTACTACTTTCATCTACAACTTTAACTGTATTATTTCCTGCTATTTCAGTTGTTAACTTTATTTTTTCTCTTTTTCTCCCCAGAATAAGCAACAATGATGTTCTGCTGAGCTGTGGTGGCCTCAAGGAGGGGGCCATCATCTAGCACACTACTGCTAACCATTTAAACATTCTCCCTCTCCTGATAATAACTTTTTGCTTTCCTTGACGTTGGATGTGCTACAACTAGTTTACCCATTTAATTATAGATTCACTAGGATAAATACAATAAAGTTTATCTCTCATCAAATAGAATATTTACTAAGAAATCACGATGTAACCATAGAAACATTACTTGGTGTGCGTGCGTGTGTGTGTGTGTCTGCTCTGTCTTCTCGATCCCCAGTGAGTCGTGGTGGATGGCTGCTTATACTGAGTCAGGATCCTCTGGAGGTTTCTTCCTGTTAAAAGGGAGTTTTCCTCTCCACTGTCGCTAAATGCTTGCCTAGTATTAGGATTGCTGTAAAGTCTGATGCAATTTGCTGGGTTCCTTATATAAGAAACATTTTTTCATATTGACTTAATGAACTGACCTGGATTGGAATGTTTATTATGTGAAGTGCCTTGAGATGACTCTTGTCGTGATTTGGCGCTATATAAATAAACTTGAATTGAACGAGTATTTATACATGTTTTGATTTTTCTTTAAATTAGACACACCAAAACAAAAACAGCTGAGTCTCATACCCTTGAAATCTTGCGGTAGGTTTCCTCATGAGTTTTTGCTTCAAAAGGAGGATGTCCAACTAGGAACTCATAGCAGAGGACCCCCAGGCTCCAAAGGTCCACCTTTTCATCATGGGTTTTGCCTTCAATCATTTCTGGGGGCAAGTAGTCAAGTGTTCCACACAGAGTGGACCTTCTGCAGGGGTAAAAACATTTCTAAAATAGGACTTTATTATGCAAGGACAGAAAAGATCGTCACACAAAGAAAAACCAGACAACGATCCTCAACATCAGCAGACCAGAGCCCATAAAACACAGTAAGAAGTTGCATTAAACACATCTGCGTACCTGGACGAAGGGGTGTGAACAGACCAGCCAAAGTCAGCGATCTTCAGCTCCCCGTTGCCTCCCAGGAGCAAATTCTCTGGTTTGATGTCTCTGTGGATCACATTCTTGATGTGGCAATAGTGGAGAGCATCTGCCAGCTCCATAATGTACTAATAACACAAAAGAAAAAACAGTAAGTGGAATTAAGAGTACACCTTCAATAAACCTGTGGAATGTTGACTGTGTTTGAAGTTTGAAGTGTTTTTAACTTACTGTTGCACTCCTGTCTTCTGGGAAACTTCCACACTTCTGCAGCTCGCCGTACAGCTCTCCCTTAGGTGCAAACTCAAGGATGAGATACACACGGGTCGCATCATGGAAGTAGCCATAGAGACGAAGGATGTTCGGATGCCTGTATAAAACCCATGCAGGAGAGAATTCTGTGAAACTGTCTTAAAGGAACTCAAGACAGAGGATAAAGTTTAGATTGGTGTTTTATTGTAATTTTCACATCACATCACCTGAGATGAGACTGAATCTCCACCTCTCTCCTCAGCTGGTGTTCCACCCCAGCCTTCTCAAGCTGGTTCTTGAAGAGCACCTTCAGGGCCAAGATGAATTTAGTCTGACGCTCCCTCGCCAAGTAGACGTTCCCAAACTTGCCCTTCCCCAAGGGACGGCCGATATCGAAGTTTTCCAGGCACCACCGCGTTCTGCATTTACACAGCAGTACAGAGTTAGAAATCCTATTCTGATCTGTTGAATTATTGCACAAATAGAATGTAGAATGTGTACTTGACGTACTTTGATGGGGCCACCTGATTAGTCTTGGCAGGTTTGTCTTAAAAAAAAAAAAAAGAAAAAAAAAAGGATATTTTAGTGTCTACAACAAACACTTGCTTATTCTTGTTTATTTTAGAAATGTGCATACTCTGTGGCTTTGCCTGCTTTGCAGGATCAGAGGGAGGCTTGGCACTGGGTACATGGGTCGTCGGCTGGTTTTGCTGGGAAACAGGCTTTGGTTGTGGTGGATTTGAACATGGTGTAGCGGGGTTTGCATTCTGGTCAGCAGGCTGTTTTGACTTAACAACAGAGACCTGAGACACTGGTTTCTGATGACTGACTGGCCGCTGAACGCGCTGGGGACCATTGGACACACCGAGGACTCGTGGCTGAGTTGGTGTGACAACGGCCTTTGAGTTATGCGATACAGGAACACGCCTCGGCCCGTCACCACTGGACTGCAATCACAAGAGGTCATTAACTATTAGAATCAGATTTACAGCAATTTTACACAAAGTGATGAATGAAAAAATAAGTAGTAGGTCTAGAAATATGTAGTTTTAAAAGATATTTCATACTTCTCTACCAACATTCTGGTTTGGATGTAGATCCAATGACAACTTTTAAGTGTTTCGTTAAATTCCCTCCAGTGGTCCATGAAACGTTTTTGCAAGTTAAGTAAGCGAAGATGTTCAGTGTTATAGTGGTGCAAGATTGGGATTACTCAGACTGTCGCACCAAAATTGAAGACCATGTATGTAAAAAATGTCTGAGCTAGTCATTTCTGTGATTGCTAATCTTGATTAGCTGTGGCAGCCATCTTGAATCAAGAGTTAAGTTAGTCAATCCAATGATTATTTCCCAAGTTTAGCTGTGAACTACCCAATGACTCGTGAGATATTCCAATAACACTAGAGACCAATCAACACACAAGCCAACAATAACAGAACATTTTGCCATCAATAATACAAGATTGAATGACTGACTTTTCTTTGTACATTACTTCTAATTAATATTTGCCCACAGATGCTTGTGTAAGGCACTACGTTGCTAAATTTAAATTTAACCCAGAGCCTCAAGATCAACATGAGATTTACGTGTCAACACCTGGCTGACTGTTTTATATTAAACTAGACTTGCTTTACCTTTACAACAGGCCTTGGAGGTTTCACGAGCCCTGCAACCTTCAGCGTGGTGGAAGAGTCCATAGTCTGAGAAGACATCAGGTATAACTCAAACATGACTAAACTCCACCACTACTAAAATAAAACTCTCGTGGCAGCTTTCTTCAAAATAATAGTGACAAAATGTAAAAGTAACCCCCAGCATCCACTCTGGCACGGTCATTCAAACGTATAAAGAGAACAGCTTCGCGTTAGCCTAGCCTAGCATAGCTGCTAGTATGTCAAGTCGTCTGACACAACTGCTGGTAATAAAGACAGGTTAGTTTAACTACTCACCTAAATAGTATTGCACGATAACCAAATGAGCAGCAACTAGTTGATTGACCCTAAATGAAAGCAGCCCCCGAGCAGGTAACCCTTTACCCAGGCTTGCTAGCAGCTACATCGATCGGTTGAACAGGTAATGTCGATGTCTTCTAATTACATGTAAGGCAAACAGCAGTAATCAAACAATGTAGCAATATCCGTGTCGTAAACTATGTTTTGAAATTAGCTAACAAATTTTAGTCATGCAAAAGTGCGTACTCTGAGGAAAAATGCTTGTCCGGAGGACACTTTCCTTAATCGCAGCCTGTTTAATTTCAAACGTCCCTCTGTTCAAAACCTTTAAAGAAACAAACGGCTTTCATTGGTTGAATGAATGCTCTAAATTCGCCTTCCATTGGCTGTTATGACATGAAAAAAAAACGGAAACAGGATGACGTAAGAAGAATCATTCCAACCGGTAGGGGGCAGTAGAGGAATGGTTGAATATGGAGTCCAGGAAAAAGTGCTCCTGAAAATATCAAATTTATACCTTTAGCAGTCCACGTTTGACCAATTTCCCAATTGTTTACAAATTTCTGATACATGTGTGCACTTCACACATTTTTCATTTTATTTTTAAATAATCGAATTTTGTATTGATAAGTGGAGAGGAAATGCTTTTTTTACAGTATGGTATTTGATGAATAAAAATCTTGTAAAGATAATAAGAACTAACATTTGACAAAGCAATACCACTGGACACTGTTTTTCACATAGAATTGACATTTTATTGCCACATCATGCACTCGTGCACTTTCCACAGACATCTATGCAAGCTACCTTTAACGTAGAATGTGTCCTAAAATTTTACAATCAAGAAACTAACATTGCACTTCTTAAAACAGTTTTACAAAATAAATATATTAAATGTTACAAATGCATACAATAAAAAAGTAGTGCAGCCACTTGAAGACCCTCTCAAATGTACTTTGTAACCATTCGAGAATTTAGATCAGCCTCCACAACATGTGCAGCAGAGCTTTGATACTAAAATGTGTCACTGCAAAGGCCTCAAGATGAAGGTAAACAGACAGGATCTAGTGTGGAAGCTGATAAACTGGTCAAGTTCCTGTTGGACACATTAATGTCCACATTACAATGGCGCAACACTTGAGAAGGTCTTCTAATTAAATATAAAAATGGCAAAAACATTGATCCCTTCCATTGAAATAAAATAACTAAGTTATAACAGAGTACAGTCAGAACCAAGTTGCTTGTTACAGAGAGGCGTTACATGAATGCGGTCCCACAGGATAAAACTTGAGATGTTTTTCAAACATAAACAGACATAACTGTTAAACTTTGAATCCTCATATTTTAGGTCTTACATTAGCTAATCAAACCGCACTTCTTACATTTATAATTGACACAAATTGCATTTGAAATCTGCTGACAAAAATATTTCTGCCATCTTAGTTTATTTGCAAACCCCTCTACAAATCTGGTTTTCTTCATACTATTTTCTACCAGATGAAACATTGTTGACATTCTGAGGTTGTTACAAAATAAAAAGCACATCTGGCAAAGGTGTGTGCGACAATCTGGCTAAAACGCTGCATCTGCTTTGGCACTTGTTCTCCTTTCCAGTTCCACCAGGTGCCTCTGAAGTCTTCTTGCCAATCCAAACATACAATGGCGGAGGTATTTAAACCGGTCCCTGAGTGTGCTGCTCGATCTTCTCAATCATCATCATCGTCCAGATTTGAAAATATTTCTCAGGACCTCTTCATGCTGCGGTCTGCTGCTCAAAAACATATCTAATGTAGATAGTAACGTGTACCCAAGTGCCCTTTGTCAAAAGAGAAAACCCAGAGCACCATTAAGTGAGGGGAGGCTGGTCGTACTGATGTTACATCTCTTGTGAGGTTCTGCTGAGAAAGAGGTAGGTGTCATTTATCTGTGACCGCTGCAGCCATCGGGGTGCGTATGGTTCCACGCGCTGTCGCTGCCAACTCTTCGATTTCTGCATTGAGTCGTCTTATTACCCACTCCATGGCTTCTCGACCCTGATCAAAAAAATGAAAAACAGATGAGCAAATTAAATGCATCAAGTAGAAAAAGTTTCAAGGAAGTTGCAAATTTTAGATTAATTTCACCAAAATTTGTATTTGAGGAAAGAAGAACAACAATGTCCAGATAGCGTCTGTCGGATCATTAATGAAATTACTTTTTTTCTATAATGCCTTTCACATTCTGATGGAAACCAATTAATTAAATGTTTAGTCTAAAATTAATCTTTTTAATCACTTCTCAAATTTGCAATGCAGGAAAATCCTCATCCAATCATTGTTAACGTCCCGTTCTTAATGACTGGATCCCGATCTTTCCATCAAACTCATTCTTGGATTGTAGCAGCTGAACCGGAACTGAAGCCAGAGCTGGGCTAGTGTCAGAATGTGCTACTCCGTTTGCAAATTTCATTTTAGGATTTTTTTTTCTTTTTACGTGTTCTGTTTAGAGTCTGGTTCTGTTCTTGTTGTGAAACATTTAGGTGTGTGTGTGTGTGTGTGTGTGAGAGAGAGAGAGGCGAGGTTCTGACCTGTTGGGGTTTTACCAAATTGTCAGTGGCACTGAGCTGCTGTGATTTTAAAGCTCTGAATAAGCCAAGAAAACTAAAAACTGCCTAATTTTTCACCATAAAAACACAACATGCTAGATTAGCTAGCATAATAAATTGTTGTACGGTTCCCTTGGTGGGTTATGTTAGGATGTATGTGAAATCTGGAGCCAACAATAGGGCTGTCGCTATTGAGGAATTCCCCCTGCGGTGAGTCAGGGCAGCTCAATATTGCGATATGCGATATTATTGCACCCCGTTTTTATTTAAGTACTTAGCAAATTTGTTTGTTAATTACTAAACTCGTGGCAATATTTCCTTTGAAACATTGTACTTACATTTAAAAAATGTTAGAAAAAAATACATGGCCATTTTTAACACTTTATTGAATGCAGATCAAAGGGCAGTAACGGCATTCTCTGACTGAACTTAAAAACAACATTCAGGAGGTTTAACTTTGAAATGCAAATTTGGCTGCAGCATCTAACAGAAATAAAAAAAGTGCCCTACTGTCTCCTCGATCAGCGCGGACTTTACCTCTCAGCATGCGCTGTCGCGAGATTTAATCAAGTGCGGTAATTGCGGTGGCACGTCATGCAGCGCTGGGTTTCTTAATATCGCGATATATTGTTCTTGCGATTATTGTGACAGCCCTAGCCAACAATGGGTCAAAACACAAGATAATAATTTGTTTTTATGACTGACAATATCCATTGGGTCTGGTGTTGTATTATTTTCTGCAACCATCAGATTCTGTAACTCAAGGGGGGAGCCTGAAGAAAGGGCTCGGACCTTTTAATTGTCTTGTTATTTTTTTAAATGTAGCGACCTTGAACAGCTTTTTCCAAGAGCATCCATCACACCTTTAATTCATTTAAAAGTGTGGTTCACTTGCTTAATCAATCCATTTACAGCGGTCTCTAGCAGGAATTAATGAGTCATATTCGGGAGGGTAAAAAATATATCAATGCATCACTTCCAGGAAGTACCAGTTATCCACTTCACAGCTGAGCTTCAGCACGTTTTGGACTCTTAATACCTGATATTTGGACATCTCACCTCAGATTGGACAACAGCAATGCGACTCTACCACTGACTTGCAAAGTTCATCTTTTATCGCCACAAATAATGGAAATAAAGGGAAGCCAAGCTGCAGATTTGACTGAATCGCTTTAAGCGCCTTACCTTTCCAGCATTAGCAGAGATGGTGCTGGCCATAACACCTTCCAGGTAACTGCTGAGGCTAACACCTTTCACAGAGATGATGGCTTCTTGAGTCAGTATCGTCCTAAAAGAGAAGAAAATTTGACAAAAATGTAAAACTAAAAAAAAAACCCACATTACTCAAAAACTCTGTGGTGCCTAAAAGGAACATACTTCTCTGGATCTTCAGGATGTGGTTTGTATGTCAACTTTTCATCCACAGACACCATGTTTGTAAAAGTTATCTGGAGGAAAAATATTTTGAAAATGTAGAGAATGAAGGTTCCAACTAAAGACAAAGTCACAGCAGTCAGACAAGTCATGGGTGAACAATCATTCTAGAAACTTCAGACTTGCACAACAAGCAACACTTCATTCTGAGAGCAGCATGCTTAAACCCCTGAAGCCCTAGGCCTATTTTGAAGCCTATTCCTCAAAAAATTGTAAAAATGGTATTTAATGGTAAAAATAGTTTGGATAGCCTTGTGGTGCTGGGTTTGCTGATTAATTTGATGGGAATTATTACTATTTCTTCTGTAGTGTGAGGGTTGTTTTGGGCCTGTTAAGGAACTAACGTCACAGGGTCCCGCTACAGTCTGAGCTAGGGATGCAACGATACCACTTTTTTTCAAACCGATATGATGCCGATACTTGGATCTGAATACTCGCCGATACCGATTGCTGATACCGATACTTCTACTACACAAAAAAATGCTACGATTTGGAATACAGATTTTATTTTCTTCTCTGCTTTCAACAGGAAAAGACTGTGAGGTAGATAAAAAGTAAAATACATGAATAGAAATCATCACAAAATTAAAATATTAGGTGAACAGAAATGACAAGTTACAGTGAAGCCATTTTCAAGCAACTGCATTGGTATCGGTTCCTGGTATCGGTTAACTTTTAACAGTATCGGTATCGGTGCATCCCTAGTCTGAGCTCATGGTTGCTGATGGGTGGAAGTCCCAGAAACTCAGTCCGAGTGAGGCACGTCTGTTTGGTAGCTAAACCTACACACAATGTGTTTTAAAGGATTTATAAGAATAATAGAACAAAAAAATAATGATAATCTGAACATAAATGAGACTTAAATGGATAGTTTGACAATTTTTGTGTAGCATAAATAAATAAAATGCTACTTTTATTAGATAGTTTCCAGAACAGCTTCAGTTCAGAGAAATAGAGGTTCAGGTAGTACAAACTCAGCCAAGACCAATACGATGATTTTAAAACAGCTTGAATCTCCATATATAAAGGTACATTATCTTATTAACATTTAAATCAACACAAATTCTGAATAACATATTTATTTCTAAGGGAAATCTATGTTTAAACATCATAGACAGCCAAATGATAAACTTTCACTGCATCCAAAGGGGAATTTCTTAATATTCCTGCCAAAATAACAGTGTAACTCAAAACAAATGATCATTTAAACATTTTAAGAATAATCTTCACATGAAATGCTACGGCATTAGGAAAGTGGAGCTGTTTTAACGTGGCAGCAATACACACTGATGTATGAAATCGGCTGGCTCCAGTTATCTGTATGGACGAAGTTCGCTCATTATTTCAACACTTCCACAGTGGTCTCTAGTGTAAATGAATGACTTTGGGTCGATCTCTGTGGGGAAAACAAGCACTGGCGCTCCAGTTTCAGCAACTATAGTGATCCAGAGCAGAAGGGAGAAGAACACGGCAGGTTATGGAGTCTTATTTCCTGACTTTTCGACATCTCTACTCTGATTGGCCAACAGCAATGAGGTTCTATTCTGCCATTTTTTGGAGTTGCTAACAATTAGCTTCTACTAGCCAAGATGAGTTTTCCTGGACGCTAAAACAACAACAGCCTTCTCCGTCGTGAGCCAAGATGGGTGAGTCCATGAATGTTCAGTGGCAGTGTGACGTAGATCTGTCAGGCTTTTCTAATCCGAGAGTTTCACGTCGTATTTTTAATCGCTGCCAAGGCCAATGGTTTCTCTGTGAACCTGCTCTTTAACTGGTTTAACATTTTTTATGAGTTGCCCTCTATATTTATGTCAATGGTTGCCCTTTGTTTTGGAGACTTTTACATCACAAGTCCCCAAAGAAAGAGGTGTTAGTGATACTCACATTGGAGGATTGGAGCTCAAAAGCCTTTTCCTTGGGATCCACGACTGAGTGCTCCTGAACGTACGTGTACGTCCGTGCATTTCCTATGAGCTACAAACAGAAAAGGACACAAGGCTTAATACCAGTCTAAACAAACCTATTCAAATTTCTTACAAAATATTTATAGTGTTGGCAAGATTTTACAAAAAATATAAATAAATAAATCCTTAAATTTTGGTTGTCTAATTTGTTCTTATGACTTCGTAATATCCTATAAATTATTTTAAAAAGCACCTTCACTAATTGAAAATGAACAAAAAGTGTTGCGATTACAATAAAATGCTGCTAAAATCAAAATCCCACAGTGTGTGTTTGGTTTTTTTAGTCGATGACATTTTAATGAGCTGGACTTTACCAGCTTCTTCTCCTGGAGAAACGCCAGCTGAGACTTTGTGAATAGAACAAAAGTTCAGCTTGACCAGCAAAGTGATACGAGGCCCGAAACACACACGGTGCCTCTATGATGATACTGGAAAAAGTCTTGTTTTGAAACAAACACTGAAGCTCAGGGGTAATCTGCTTTTACACAATCTGATTAAAGGCCGTGCTAATAGGCCATCAGTCACCGGGACCGTCTGTGTCACAGACTGCCCTTGGGTTTAAAGAGGCTAACCTCGATGCCGGTGAGACACATTGTCAAATACCAAGGCATGAATCATTATTAAAAAAATAAATAATAAAAATAAACTGAATTTGATTGGCAAATGTTGACTAAAGTCTAACTCTGACACAAAGGTACAGTGTTTGCTTTCTGCAGCATTTGCATTCCAAGTTCAGAAGGTCTGGAATTCCTGGGAGGAGCTCAGATTACACGTTGCACGAGTCCAAAAGGCTGCCGTCACTGCTCTGCTTTTCAAGTCACCTCTAGTTGTGACTGAAGTGACACGCAGATGGAAAGTTACATCACACGATATCGTAGGCTACATCGGAGCAATGACAGATATGGGACCACCATGTCCTGTACAGCACGAGCGTGGACCACGGCCGTGAACTCAGCTGGCCGTCAGCCAGAAACCCAGTTCCTCTACTAGAGCTGGACAGAAATAGTCTTCATGCTAAGGTCAGGTTCACAGTGTGATCATCCATATTATTCTCCTGATGTGGTTTAATATTTAACAATAAAAGTTTAAGGTTTGGATACTCACAGATTTCACTATGGATGGTAGTCCCCACTCTGTGCTGAGCAGTCTTTTACTGTGGAGGCGTCCATGTTGGTCAACGTTTCTGTCCAGAACATCCACTCCCACCACACTAGGGTTCATGGGGTTGGGATACTTCTGCATAGCAGCCTTGGTCACCATCTCCCAAGGATGGCTGTCAAAGCAAGGTCACAAAAAGAGTCCAAATGAGCTCAGATTGAAAAAATCTCTGTTCAAGCTACATTTAAACAGGGAGCTGTTTCGTTAATCTTAATATTCTTGTAGTTAGTTTCATACATAATTTAAATCAAGAGGGGGAAAAAATCAACATGTAGACACAATATATTTGTTTACCAAATGCTTTTAATCAAAGCGACTTTGCCTTGCTAAAGGACACTGTGACAAGTAGAAAGTTGAGAATCAAAACAACTGACTTTTTGGATTGTAAATTGTGATAGTGTGAGAAAAGAAGTAAACCAAACAGACTATACAGTAATAAATAGTAGAAAGGTATAGGGCCATGTACTCTATAGTGAGAATATCTACTTTACATATATTTTATTAAATTACTTAAATAAATGCTGAATTTCAATTTTAGTATAAATAGCTATTTAACTGCGGATTGTGTGACTTGTGAGGTTGTACACACACACACACACACACACACACACACACACACACACACACACACACACATATGTGTGTGTGTGTGTGTGTGTGCATATGTATATGTTAATATATAAACATGTTAATGTTTATTCATTTAGCAGATGCTTTTATCCAAAGCGACTTACAATTTATAAACTATAGGGCATGTTGTGATATATATATATATATATATATATATATATATATATATATATATATATATATATATATATATATATATATATATATATATATATAGTGTTATAAAAAATGTTGTGCCACTTTTTATAATTTTTGTTTTTCCACATCAACATAATGCATAAATACCATTTTCAGATAAAAGCTCAAGATTCCAAAAGTTTACGAAAACTGCGAACACATTTTTACCTTTCCGGCTGAATTAAAGCGCTTTTTTCGTGACTATATTCCCCTAAATTATTATTATTATTTTTTTAACTTTATTTAACAAACAATGAGTATACAACATAGAAACGAATGAAGTATACAAAACAACAGCAGTGTAGTGACGAAACGAGCTGCTTTACGGCAGTGTGTGGGGGAAAGGTCAGGGGACGGCTGACTGGACCTGTCCGCTCGGTTACGTAATTTAAAAGACATTCCAGTCAAATAATGGCGTGTGTTTATAATTGTTCCTCTTTTTAGTTGGTATATTTTAGGTTATTTAAATATTTATGTCCATTTTAATAAAAAGGCATTCACTGACGTTAAGACGGAAGGATTTCTTACCCGACTGCTACTAGCATACATGCTAAATCATGTTTTTTAGTGGTTTATGTGCATTGTTTTTCCGCTTACTGTTGGTCTGCTAGTCATAAGTCAAATGAAAAGCCACGCGGTGTTACTCAAGAGCCAAGACAAGAAAACAGGAGGGAAAAAACGCGCAAAATCAGAATAAAGCCCACATTTTCCATATTAATGAACACCTTTACTTACTTGAATATGTGTTCCGAGGTCCAGATCTTCATGTTCGAACTGGAAGACGACGCGGATGAAGCCGAAGTCAGCGAATGAAAGCCGGTAGGTAGGAGTCACATTGACAGATATCACGGAGAAAGCTGCAAATCCGCTCCGCCCTCATGCCGGAGGAGTCACGCGGAAGGCTTTACGCACTTCCGCTTGTTCTGACTGGTCCACAGAGCTGTTATATAAAGATTATCACCCGTGTATTTTATCATATTGTAATAGCCACATGTTTGTGTCTCGTTAGCAGATATGTACACATATGTTATTGGTATGTTTTATGGTAGACCGTAATTTCCACTATAACCTTTGATGTTTTGTTACACAGTTCACTTCAATGACAGATGCAGAATACTCTCAGCTCCTGCAATATGATCAGACAATATATATATATATTTTTTTTTTTACTTCATCAAATCAATTTCCCTCTGGGATTAATAAAGTATTTTTTGAATTTGAATTTTGAATTTTGAATGTGGAGACGTCCTTTCGTTAATCATACATCATATCCTTGCTTCAAATATAAGTGCTATCTGATATTACATTTTGTTTGATTACTGTAAACACTCACATTTATTTAAGTTCTCCCTCACAGCAACTCAAAGGTAAATGAGGTAGAATCCTGTTCCATCCTGACCTCATTATTACTTAGTAACATGAACCTGAAACAATCATCTATGAGGTAATGCATCTGTAACTATAACCTATGTTTCCAGGGAATGACTCCAGTCCCCTTTACTGCGGTGTGCTGGGGCAGCTTCGAGCCATGTGCTTATCTGAGAGAGAACACACACTGTCCAAGTCATGTGTAATCTCAAGGCTCCAGACTCGCACAAGTGGGAGGAAGCTGTGTGACAGCTTCCAATAGCATCACTGTAAGTGTGCTATCATACTTCCAACTCAGCAGTTTGTTTCAGTTTAAATGATGAAGGGGACATTTTCTTTTCTTTTTGTTGTCTTTGTATTTTAGTTACCATTATACAAAAAGAGAGAACATTTTAAACACCATAATTCAATTTTAAAGTTCTTTTATTTTGTTAAAATACATCACATATTTAATAAAGAAATACTTTTATTATGAAAAAAATAAACATGCAAGCAGATAAATGATTTGCGTTTAATAAATTATCAGCATTATTGTTGACACATTTTATTATACTGTTTATGCAAAATGGAACATTGGTCGTCGTGATGATAAAATCCAAGTTGGAGCTTAAATACCTCTTCTGCAGTGTGCACAAAAAACAGCCCATAAAAATGCACCATTATTTAGAAGGCACTTATCAAAATGCAGATTTTTAATCTAAAGTAGAACTATAATAAAGTTATGGTAAATGGCCTGTATTTGTCTAGCGACTTCTTAGGGTTCTACAACCCCCCAAGGCACTTCACTACATATTCAGTCATCCACCTATTCACACGCCAGTGGTGATGAGCTACAGTGTAGCCACAGCTACCTTAACACTGGCACCACCAGCAGGCAAGGTAGGTTAAGTGTCTTGCCCAAGGACACAACACCAGCATTCTCTGGTGGGAGCCGGGATCTAACCTGCAACCAGACAACCCGCTCTACCTCCTGAGCTACTGTTGCCCCATCAATAAATTTAGAGCTTTTAGCATCAGCACAGACATGCCCATAAGACTAGATTAAGTCCTTTTTTTGACTGAATCTACGGGGCTGCAAGGTGGTGGACTCTGTCGGCTCTGTTACCTTAAAGTGAAAAACAGCCTGAGTTTGATTTCCATCTGGGGCCTTTCTGCAGTAAGTCGCATATTGTCCAGCTGCAGATGTGGGTTTTCTCCCACAGTCATAAACATGCATGTTAGGTTAGCTGACCTTTCTAGGTTAAACCTACACATGAATATATAATTGTTTGTTGGACGGATTGTCAATCTTGTGTGAAACAGAAATAAAAAAGTTAAAAGAATTAACTAGCTGTTATACTTTGTTGCTATTTACTGATTTTGCTAATTTCCTTTTCTGCAGACATTTTAGCTAATGAGACATTTATTGGCTACATCACCAGTTTATATGTGTTCACTAAAATATCATCAAAAATTGTACATTTCAAAGGCCACTTTTATTAAAATCATCTCTGCAATTTTGGCCTGCGGTGGGACCATAAACCTACACTTTTGTTTCTGCAATGGCTGACGAGCAACTACAACAATGGGATGATGCACACTCAAGACAAGTCCGAATAATCTCAGCAAATTTAGTTTTCTTCATGATTCTCCACAAGTCATACCAACACCTTGTAGTTACACTTGTTATTTGTATCCCGTTGTTGCCTCATGCTTTTATTACACCTAATATGACAGCCACAGTAAGATGATAGAAATTCATGTCAGATTCACAGACATAAATATTTAAAGCATTTCTTATTTGCATAAAAATTCAGTAGTAATAATTTTAAATCGGTCCATACAAGCTTGTCCGTTAGGTAGCTGGCAAAGAGACATTAAAACGTTTTAATCTATTTTAGGAAATACAGACAGCATAACGTTTACCTGCATACCAACAAAGTATGACGGTAGGTTATCAACTGTGGCTAACTGGAGCAGATGTTGAGCCTTTGTTCAACCTTCTGACTGAAGCTTCAAATCTTTGTTGGTAAATTTCATAATGCATTTAAAGTTGAAATTGCTTACATGAGTCAGTGAAAAGCATTTATTTAAACCACAGGTTATCAAGTCAAATTGACAAAGAAAAATCACTTTCAGATAAAAACATACACATGCTGTTTGAATCCTTGCCTGAAAGTGTCCTTTAGTACCGAGATGTCCACCCCATGCTTATTGCTGAGCTACAACTTCTTTGCTTGTCTCTGTTACTGTTTCCAGTTTGACTTCCGTCCTAGCCGTAACCTTTGTTGTTGCTACGGGTGAGGGTCCCTCTTCTTCTTCATCTTCTGCTTCCCAGTCTTGATCAACGGTAGCATCTTGGTACTGTTGGTATTCTGACACCAGGTCGTTGAGGTTATTTTCAGCCTCAGTGAACTCCATTTCATCCATACCTTCCCCTGTATACCAGTGGAGGAAAGCCTTTCGTCTAAACATCAGGGAGAACTGCTCCCCCACTCGACGAAAAATCTCCTGAATGGCCGTGTTATTGCCGATAAACGTGGAGGCCATCCGAAGCCCTCGAGGTGGGATGTCACACACGGCCACTTTGACATTATGAGGGATCCAGTCAACAAAGTAGTTGCTGTTTTTCTGCTGGATTGCAAGCATCTGCTCATCTACCTCTTTGGTGGACATCTTACCACGGAAGACACCTGCAACCGTGAGGTACCGACCTCGCCGTGGGTCGCACGCTGTCATCATGTTGCGGGCATCAAACATCTGCTGGGTGAGTTCAGGCACGCTGAGAGCTCGGTACTGCTGGCTGCCCCGCGGTGTCAGAGGGGCAAAGCCTGGCATGAAGAAGTGGAGGCGAGGAAAGGGCACCATGTTGACAGCCAGCTTCCTCAAGTCAGCGTTGAGCTGTCCTGGGAATCTCAGAGAGGTTGTGACCCCACTCATTGTCATGGAGACCAGGTGGTTGAGGTCCCCATAAGTTGGTGTGGTCAGTTTTAACGTGCGAAAACAGATGTCGTAGAGGGCCTCATTGTCTATGCAGAAGGTCTCGTCTGTGTTCTCTAGAAGTTGGTGGACGGACAGCGTGGCATTGTATGGCTCCACCACCGTGTCAGAGACTTTAGGGGAGGGCATAATGCTGAAACTATTCATGATCCGATCAGGATACTCTTCTCGAATCTTATTGATGATGAGGGTCCCCATGCCGGAACCTGTGCCGCCCCCCAGTGAGTGAACCAGCTGGAAGCCTTGCAGGCAATCACAGCTTTCACTCTCATTCCTCACCCTGTCGATGACCTGCTCCACCAGCTCGGCTCCTTCTGTGTAGTGGCCTTTTGCCCAGTTGTTCCCGGCACCCGAGCTTCCTGCAGCACAAAGTTAAAGAAACATAGTGTTTTTCTACACATTTGTTGTGGTGTCTGTTTCAGCAGTTAGAAGTTAGTTGGTGGAGTCAAAGCGGAAAACCTTACTCAATAATATTCATGTTATGTAAACACCTCGCCTCTGATTGGCTAACAGCAGTGCCACACTTCCCCTGCCTAAGTTAATTCTTCTTTCTTGGGTAAAAATGCAACGCTGATGTTTTATCTCCACAAATACCACAAGCATGAACATGTCCTGCCATGTTATTGAGTTGCTATCGCTAATTCGTTAGCTTCTACTAGCCAAGATGTGCTCTGCTCTCCCCTGGCTGCAAAATAAACACAGCCTTCCGTGGTCGCAAGCCAACATGGGCGAGTCGAGGAATGCAAATTTTCCCTGTGATGTAGAAGCGACTGGCTTTTCCTGACCCGATCACCCCCCCCCCCCCACACACACACACACACACACACACACACCCCACCCCCACCCCTGTCTATTTCCTTTCTGCACCTAATGTTAATACAATTTTCATGATTAGCATGAATATGCAAGTCAGAGAGACCGATTGTATTTGAAAGAGAACAATTATTACACAATTTCTCTATGAACAAGACCTTTACTATTGATCTTACCATGGATGAAGTTGTCTGGTCTGAAAAGGGCACCAATGCGGCTCCCTCTTACACTGTCCATAGTGCCAGGCTCCAGGTCCACCAGCAGGGCCCTGGGCACATATTTACCACCTATAAGCAGACTCAGAGTCAGCTATTTCTGTACTTTCAGTAAAGTTTAAGAAAAAAATAAAACTGCATGCATGGTTTATAACAGTTCATTGAATGAAACTGGTCTTGTACCATGTGCCTCATTGAAATAGACGTTGATCCTCTCTAGTTGGACATTGCTGTCCCCTTCGTAGAGGCCTGTCTCGTTGATCCCATGTTCTTCACTGATCACTTCCCAAAACTGAGAAGCAAAAAGAGAGAATCCATCAGAATCAATAGAATGTGCAGAAAGAGGTTAATTGGTTCTCCAGCTGAACTTCATTTTACAGTTTAAATGCTGAAGGCCTCACAAAATAGCTGTGCAGACTTGTATGTGTCTGCAAAGAAATAAAATAATTCAATCAGAATCCACCTGCATGTTCTCATAACATTCTAAACATTATCTGTCATGACTTTGTGCTAACTAGAAGAACCACTGGTGATCCAAACCAGTAGTTCTCTAACCTTCAATCTCTGACCCACACAATAGGAAATGAAAAGAACCATGCTGGTTGAACAACAGAGCCAGAAGGCAAACAGACTGCTTCAACTTACATTTTATTATTTGTATCAGTTATTGCCTATTATAAAAACTCATTATCACTTTATTATAAGGGTCCCTTCATAATTGTTACTTAGTACACAATTAATTGTAGATCAATCATTAAAGGGGCATTATGGAAGTCTGACAGCCAAAACATGTATAGAAATAATACATTTCTTCTTAATACATTGTCCTGCAATGCCCTGGTCCTGTAGGATGAGCCCTGGCATTTTTACTGTGATTGCCTATTTTTCTGTAAAATCACAGAAAAAGAGAGATGCTCGGGTCGAGCAGGCTGCTTCATGCGCGTTCACGCTCAGGCATAGCCCTCCGAACCATTCTTTGAATGTTGTTTCAGCTGACAAGAATATAAATGTTACAGATACAAAGGACATCACTGGAGCTTTAGCTCGCCTAGTAAGACGTCGGGCTTTCGTGTTGAAGACCTGGGTTTGATTCTGGATGTGAACTTAGTTGTTTTAGAGTTTCTTTTTTACATTAACGGTATATTTTTTTACAGTAAGACGCCCAAATTTTTATTTGAGACTCGCCAAACGGCATTGAATTCACAGATAAAAAAAAATGTGGGTTCAACTTTCATTTTGGAACAATTTTTCAAGCAAGGGAATGGAATCATCTGAGCATGCAGGAGGACTGACCCATCTTAAACCTTTGTCGGCTGTGCTGAAGAGAAAGGTATAGAACCAAATTATTTAATTAATTAGCTGCGCGTTCTCCTGTACTCTGTCCTCCGGGCCACACACACACACACACACACAAAAGACTGTCTCAGCTGTTATTTTCATAAAGGAGTGTGCACGTACAGCATGCGCGCCTCGTGCACGAGCCTCCTATTGAAACTGCCGTTACACTTATGGCCTGAGGGGGCAATCACGAGCATAAAAATTCAAAACTCTGTAAAGTCCCTTTAAATAAAGTATTAACAACTGCTTAATACTATGTAATGCATGTGGCTCTTTGACCCTTTGACCATTTTTGGATAATTCTTAATAATGCACTAAGGAACATTAATAAATTAACCCTTTGTTTATCAATGGTTAATAATGCACTAAGTGTTATAGAGATTTTATTTTTTATGACATTAATAAAGGAACCCTGTATTTATTAATGCTTAATAATGCACTTATTAATGTTAAAAGAGGGAACTTTTTAAAATAATGCTTATAATGCACTAAGTAACGTTAATAAAAGAACATGCATTTATTAATGCCTAGTAATGCACTAAGTAATGTTAATAGAGGGAACTTTTTTAAAATAATGCTCAATAATGCATTAAGACACATTAATAAAGGAACCCTTATTGTAAAGTGTTACCAAATATTCAATGTTGTAGAGTTAGCATACGTATGTATTTTGGGTGCTTTTTATCCCGAGGCTACAATGTAAAATAATTTAATTGGATTCATGGAGAGTATCCTAAAACCGACAAATGATGATTGACCATGTCAAAAGCAGCATGCGTTTTATCTTCTTGTTGTTCCCCTCTCTTGTTTTGTGTTAAACATGATAAAAACTTCCCACCCATGCCAGTCTTGCTTTGGTTCTTATCTTGTCCCCTGAGCGCCTGAAGGGAAACACCCTCTGTCACTCTCATTGAGTGACAGTGCGCACAAACAAGTACATGTAATGCAAATGAAAACGTTAAACTAGTACTTGATGTCTTAATTAGGATAATAGCTTCCAACAGATGCAGCAACTAAAACTGTCTCCTAAATGACCCGTGGGTCAAAACTGTGCTTGGGAAGTCATGTCTAAAGCATGTCTTCATTTCTGTGATGAAGAACAAATCATTTTTATTACCTTTGAGCCGATCTGGTTGCCACATTGTCCAATTTGCAGATGTACAATTTCACGCATGATGATGGAGCTACCGTCCGCAGAACAGCTGAGGGTCTGAGATAGTCCACAGTGTTCTTGTCAGACTTATATATGAGACCAGAAATGATGTCATCGATAGAGAAAGGGAGTCACCCCATGTTGAAACGAGCAAAACAAACGATACGTAAACTATGCTGTAACTTAACCCAAGGTACCAGAATTTCCTATAAGAACCAATTTAGTGATCTTGACAAATAAAAATTCTGCTTTTTTCTTTCTATTTTGAATCCTTTTTGATTGTTAGTCACGTCTGCCTGACCATTTTAGAATAGTTAATTTGTTTGTTAAAGAACTTGAAACAGATGTTTAAATTGTTAAAACTATAAATACACATAAATGTCAGGGATGAACAAACAAGAGACAGAATAATAGACCAAATAGAACCAGTTATAATTTTTTTTCCAAAATTTATTTGAAAATAAATTAATTAGCAAAACTTCCTTTTGAGTTTATTCAGTGAGCGAATAAATACTACCTTCAGTAGAAAAGGTCTAGACTAGACAACTGATTGTTTTTGTAAAACTTCAGCACAAGTAAACATAATCAAGAACAAGAAGTTGTATAGGTGAGAGAAAAATAAAAATAAAATCCTCTCACAGATACAAAGATTCACCTGTCAGCATGTCTGTCTTCTACTACTTATTGCTTCATTATGCAAAACTAATGGTCAGTTTGAGATATGCTGCCATCTAGAGAATAAATGCAAAAAAATTCCATTAACTTAAATATCTATAAAGTAGATTTATTTATGAATGTTTAAAAAGCCCCAGGTGTGTGCATCGATCACTATGTTTGGCATTCTGCTGAGGCAGTTGATCTGCTATTTCAATGACTTAGTGACACTTTGGGATCAATGATGGGCTTCACATCAAGAACTGAAATATTTAATAAGGTGAGGAACTTATCACAAGTAATCAAGAACCCAAACAGACTCTGTAAATTAAAGTTTAACACAAAGCCTAAGACTGTTTATAACACCAGAAAGAACATCCATTCATGTCTAGTAGATTTGATTTCATGAGAAGTAGATCGATATGGGGTCTCCTATTGCAGATGCCTGATATTTGCTGCCCGTTTTTAAATAGCATCAGACTAAAATGTCTCAGGAAAAACTGTCAGGCAAAAATATTTTTTCTTGAGTCATTTTAGTCTGAAAAACTTTTTCCTGAGACCTTTTTGTCTGATGGGTTTTTGAATTCAATTCAATTCAATTTTATTTATATAGCGCCAAATCACAAGAGTCGTCTCAAGGCACTTCACATAACCATTCCAATTCAGGTCAGTTCATTAAGCCAATCAGAAAAAATGTTTCCTATACAAGGAACCCAGCAAATTGCATCAAGTCACTAACTAGTGTCAGTGACTTTACAGCAATCCTCATAATAAGCAAGCATATAGCGACAGTGGAGAGGAAAACTCCCTTTTAACAGGAAGAAACCTGGAGAGAGGAAAACTCCCTTTTAACAGGAAGAAACCTGGAGAGAGGAAAACTCCCTTTTAACAGGAAGAAACTTCCAGAGAATCCTGGCTCAGTATAAGCAGCCATCCACCACGACTCACTGGGGATCGAGAAGACAGAGCAGACACACACACACACACACACACACACACACACACACACACACACACACACACACACACACACACACACACACACACACACACACACACACACACACACACACACACACACACACACACACACACACACACACACACACACACACACACACACACACACACACACACACACACACACACACACACACACACACACACACACACACACACACACACACACACACACACACACACACACACACACACACACACACACACACACACACACACACACACACACACACACACACACACACACACACAGCAATGTGTCCATGGTTACACTGTGATTGCTTAGTAAATATTTTATTTGGCGAGAGATCAACTTTATTGTATTCATCCTAGTGAATATATTGTTAAACGGGTAAACTAGTAGTAGCACATCCAACGTCAAGGAATCAAAAAGTTATTATCAGGAGAGGGAGAATGTTTAAGTGGTTAGCAGCAGTGTGCTAGATGATGGCCCCCTCCATGAGGCCACCACAGCTCAGCAGAACATCACCGTAGCTTCCTCTGGGGAGAAAAACACTTATGGGCCATTCCCATCTGTACCGGGTCGGCCCGGGCCGGGTAGCGTAGGTTGTTTACATATCTGGGTGGCCTGGTATTTTTCCGGGCCAACCAAGGCTCATTCTCAGCCCTCTTCTCGAGGGGGTCTGCTTCAGGCCGACCAGGGCCAACACACCCACTGCTGACAGCAAATTCACACCGTCCATTAGAGCAAGCCTCTGATTGGTGGGTAGAATCAGCCCACATGGGCTTAAGACAAGGATGTGTGGAATCAACCGGGCCAGGCTGGGGCCGACTGGGGCTACCCAGCCCGGGCCGACCCGGTACAGATGGGAATGGTCCATTAGAGAAAAAATAAAGTTAATAGCTGAAATTGCAGGAAATAATACAGTTAAAGAGCAGATTGTAGAAGAATGTAGTAGAGTGTGAAAAGTGGCCAGTGTATCCTCCAGCAGTCTAAGCCTATAGCACCATAACTACAGAGATAACTCTGGATAACCTAGACTTTTAGATGGAGGCATGTTGGAGGCAGGGCAAGGGAGAGCCATCTTTACCGGCTGTACACTCCACCTCCCTCTACTCCCCTACTTGTCCAGATCTAAGCTAACATCAGATTTTAACCATAAGCCCTATCAAATAAAAAATGTTTTGAGCCTATTCTTAAAAGTGGACAAGGTGTCTGCCTCACGGACTAAGACCGGGAGCTGGTTCCAAAGGACAGGAGCCTGATAACTATCTGCCTCCCATCCTAATTGTAGATATTCTGGGAACTACCAGTAAACCTGCAGTCTGGGAGCGAAGTGCTCGGTTAGGAACGTATGGAACAATCAGATCACTGATGAATGATGGAACTTGATTACTAAGAGCTTTGTATGTGAGAAGAAGGATCTTAAAATCTATTCTGAATTTAACAGGTAGCCAATGTAGGGACGCTAAGACAGGAGGAGAGATATGATCTCTCTTTTTAATTCTCATCAGAACTCTAGCTGCAGCATTTTGGACAAGCTGAAGACTTTTAACTACATTCTGTGGACTTCCTGAGAGTAATGAATTACAGTAATCCAGTCTTCATGTAATAAATGCATGAACTAGTTTTTCAGCATCACTCCTGGAAAGGATGCTTCTAATCTTAGCAATATTCCGAATGAAATCTGATGTATTTTTTTCCTTATGGTCTGATGTCTGAAGTCTTCAGATGTGCACAGTACTCTTGACTCTTAGCATCAACGTCATGGCAACAAGCTCCTCATTTCTGAGAGTAAATATCGAGACTTGTAGATATGTGCCTGATTTTAAAGCAGCTCTCCTAAGGTACACTGGCCGATGTTTATTCAAATTTGTTAGGCATTGGCCCAAATTACCGGCCGACTGACACATTGATCTGTTTCTATTGACAGGAAGTCGGTTTGTTCTTTGTAAAACTTTAACTTCCTACTTTGACTGTCAGGATTCATGAAACAATAGTCTGATCATCAAAACAAGGAAATTTAACAAACTCTGGCATTTAGAATAAAAAACAAACAACTTTCTGATTTAGTCACACAAAGTTTGTAACAAAGAAACAGCAGAAGTCAGTGTTTAACTTGTTTCTTTTATTGGACTCATTAGTTCCTTCCTCTGTTGTCTGTTGAGGTTCATTAGGGAGCTTTAGATGTCATTGATGACCTTTATGTGTTTTGCCCTGAGCCTCTGGCTCCTGCCGCTTGACGCATTTATGAAGGGATTTGTGTGTGTGTGTGTGTGTGTGTGTGTGTGTGTGTGTGTGTGTGTGTGTGTGTGTGTGTGTGTGTGTGTGTGTGTGTGTGTGTGTGTGTGTGTGTGTGTGTGTGTGTGTGTGTGTGTGTGTGTGAGCTTGACTACTGTGTACAATTGGTGTTGGAGTCAGTGTTTACATGTGTGCATGTCATTATTACAAGGCAAACACCATTTAAGCATTGTCATCAGGTTTTATTGTGACGGGTTGGTAAAGTTCACTGATTCATTTTCCATGAACTCTGATTGGGAAGTGAAAAACATAGCCATATATGGCATTCCTCTACAAATCTGCACATTTGGTTGACATGGAAATTATTCACATTTTGCTAGAAGATGTGTAAGGACTTGTGTGGAGCTCCAAACAGAAAACATTTTTATTTGACCCGTGTTTGTTTTTTATTTTAAATCTTATTTTAGAGGTTTTAGCACGTGGGTGTCTTCCACGTAACCTACCGGATTATACTTAGTTCTTGTTAATGTTTGTGGATATTTTCTGATAATTTAATGATTTTGGGGCGTTGATCCCCTCCCCTTTTGTACCTCTGCTTCATGAAGCTTCGGGCAATCATGTGACCCGACCCTTCTTCATCCACATGTGTCAAGTGGTAGCAAGGCACACATCAAAAGTCCTCCGATCTGAATTTCAAAGTAAAGGCGCAAGTTATTTACGTAAAGATTTGATTTTCTTTGGATTTTTGTTGTCTTTTCCTAAAATTCATGTTGCACTAAATATTTGCATTGTTATACTGGTGTGTTTTTCCAGACATTTTCAGTTGCACACTTTAAAAATGCATGAAAATCATGTATACAAAGGTCCATTATTATTATTTTTTGTTAAGTTTTTTTAATTATTCACTACATAAGAGGATTAGGGCAACTGAGAAGAATTCTGACTTTAATCGAAGAATTCTGACTTTTTTTCTCTGAATTATTAGTCAGAAATCTCCAAAAATGTCATAATTCTGAAATTAAAGTCAGAAATCTGAGAGTCATAATTCTCTTGTTTCTTTTCAGTGGCCCTAATCCTCTTCTGTAGCTAAATATTTAATATGTATATGTAGCCTAAATCATTTTATTCTGTAACCTATAAATATAGTGTAAACCTCCAAATCATCATGTGTTCAACCCATTATGAAACAAGTTTTTGTCACAAACAAGCTGATTTTATGTTAGTTTGATGCTACTGCTCTGAAGATAAATCTTCAACCTTATTTTTATATTGTCAACAATAAAACACACCAAATCATTATTTTATCTGCAGTCATTCATTAATTAAGCTTAATTTATATACAAGCAAAAAAAAAAAAAAAAAAGCAAGAAATTTGATTCAATGAAATTATGACATCCCCCACGCCTTCTCCGAAGGGGAAGGTGGGTCTCTCTCTCCCGTGGGACACCCACTTTCCCAGTTTCTGGCTAATACCTTGTGTCATGCTGTCAGGCTTTTCAAATCCAAGAGTTTCGCCATCTATTTTGTATCAGGAGATAGTTGTGGGAGACTATTTTCATGTTCAGACAGCATTAAAAAGTCAGAATGACCGATTTTTATCAGAAATAATATTTTGAAAATCGGTGATGCCACCAACACCGTCAATCTGTGATGATGGCTAGAGATACTAGGTGAAACGTGTCAGGTAAAACAATTTTTGACTAAATTGTGTAAACAAAGAACAAGAAAATGAATATTTAAATAATGTTTTTAGGGAATCACACCTTTAAATTTCCAATACCTTAAATGTAGCTTTCTTTTCTAAGTTCTGTTATAACTGTCCCAATGTCTTACCCACATGAGAGTTTGTACTTGTTCTATACTCCAGAAAATACATTTTAAAAGTAATTTTAACGTGAGCTTTTCGTTTGTGCTTTATTGTGAAAGTTCCAACCGGAAACGGAATTAGTTGCCACAGAAAACTTGACCGCGGGTCTTCATTCCCAGGGTTCCGTGAGAGCCTTTTGCCCCACCCCACCTCTCCAGCGCTATCTAACTCAATGTACAATTCTCTGAAAGAAAAAAGAGGGGCAAAAATAATTCAGAGAAATACTGCAAAGGAGCGAGTCCCGCACAGGCGACCGGTTCTTCGGAGCAGCCGCGGCCCTTTTCGGCACCGGATGGGTGATTGAAAACACCGCGGTGTGTTCATGTATCATGCACATGTAACCACAACCTGCCGCACGGATTCAAAGGAGATACAAAAAGCCGAGAGACTTGACAGCGGACTGTATTTGCGCCAAACGGGGTAAATAGCGAAGGATTCCCACCAATATCACCTGGATATTGTTGCGTTACGGTGAAGGACATCCAGCTGCCGAAAGCCGCCGCCTCTGCTCGGCTGGAGAAGCTTTCCGATGTGAGGAGAAATACAAATCAACGTTACGGGAAGAAAGAGGACGAAGACGGGGCCTTTTCTCCTTTTTCTTTTTTATTAGGTCTGGATAAACCCTCCTGGGAAAAAACAAACACCATAATTCTGACAGAAGAAGCTAAAGTAGAACATTATTAAAGAAAAGGTTGCTGACATCTGCCCTTCTTAAATCTATGTGAGGAGGAAGTATTTATATTTTATGTTTCAATTACCCCCTCACATCTTCAAATGTGTTTCAGGTGAACATTTTAAACACATTTAGAGAAAAAAGTCTAAAGGCGGTTGAGGAAAGCGGCTCCGGCTGTTTGTGGGGAAGGATTGAATGGCTGTGGGAGAAATCCGCTGAAGCTCCGAAGGAGACATTCGCTGAAAGCAATTAACGTCAAAGCCTAAAAAATACATGATAACAATATACATTTAAAAGAAGCCTGCCTGGTGTTTGGATTTAAAACGAAATCCGGACTGTTCATTCATGTGCGGCGAGGAGCTGGAAATTTCACATCCTCTCATATCAGTGTTGATGACTTCATTGCGGATTTACAGTAGAAAAAAACAACAACACACACACAGTCATATTAACACGCTGAAGCGTGTGTGAGGGCGGCATCGCTACTCTGCACCTGAATCCCTGGCTGATAGTTTCCCAGTAAATAGCCTCATCCATAAACACCAATGTCACACATCTTGAGCCAGATGTTCCACTGGTGGTCCAGTTCAGGAATCTAGGATTCAGCATCCTCCCATCTTTTTACACCCAGGCATCCTTCCCTCCCCCCCACCCGAACCTCTCACTGGGAATTTTTTGGGAGAAGATGGGCTGTCTTGGGAATAGTAAAACCGAAGATCAGCGAAATGAGGAGAAAGCACAGAGAGAGGCCAACAAGAAGATAGAGAAGCAGCTCCAGAAAGACAAACAGGTCTACCGGGCCACTCACCGGCTGCTGCTATTAGGTAGGTGTAAAAGGAAAAGAAAACATAAATGTATTTTTAATTAATGTTGCAGCTATGTGAACTGACAGGAAGCTGCTGCACGACCACTTCCTCTGAGGCTTCAGCGGGTTATGCAGGAACACCATCAGTCCAGTCTGGTTAGAAATCTGCATTCAGGAGTCATTATGGAGCCTGAGTGCAGAACGTGTGAGAGTTAGGACACCACCATCTGTGTGAGTGTGTGTGTCTCAGACACCATGCAGAGGCTGGGAGGCCGGTCACAGGCACCTTCCCTGCTCGTTCCTCCTTTCCACACACTTGTGATCTGCTGTGTTTGTGTTCCCAGTGTGAATGGGATGCCTCCACTTTGGTGCGTTTTCATCCGACGCCACACATCAGTTTCAGGAGGATAAATATTCTCCGATCAGCCAAACAATGCAAAGTGATTTTAAACCTCACCGAGTGGAGTCTGCACGTTAAGGCCACCATCCTGTTAAACCTCAGAGTGCAAATTAGGATTATCATTAGGATTACTAGCATCCTCTTTATGCCTGTCTGGTTTATGTTAATCTGAAACTGATCCTAGATTTATGCACGCACACACATGCTCCATGTGTTTAGAGGTGCGCAGACCTCAAATTTTTAGCTCACTACACATTTTAGTCTATTTTTGTTCAGTTTAAGAAGTTTTGATTCATTTTTTTTAATATTCACTTTGCTTTTGAAAGCAGCTCTGGATTTAAATTTCTATCCTCTCAAAGTGGTTTCTATATTTGTAGTCCCATTTTCCTGATGTTGAGGGTCACAATATCAATTTTAGGTGTCACAGACAAAAAAGTAAGAAGAATCATGAATCAGATTAATCTTCCAGAACATGATAATTTTATTTGTTCCTTTTAGATTATAATTCCAGTTAGGTATGCACCTATGTGAAACTTTTAGGCCGATACCGATATCCGATTTTAAAATTGCTGTTATGGCCGATAACCAATATTTGCAGATACCGATATGTGTGTGTGTGTGTGTGTGTGTGTGTGTGTGTATATACACCCTGACACTTATGCTTCTGAAATAATCAGATATTGTATAAACTGAAAATTATGCACGCTGAAATTTTAAATACATCGCTTTATTTCTGTATATATGTGTGTGTGTGTGTGTGTGTGTGTGTGTGTGTGTGTGTTATTATAAACACATACCACACACATTTAAGTTTCTGAGATGATTACCATCACTGTCAAACACACAAACGGAAACAAGATGGACAAAGTATTTATTGTTAAAATTGGCCCAGTTGTACTTATTGGACTAATACTGATATGTTAAAAAATACTAACATCAGCCAATACCGATGTTATTGCCGATATATCATGCATCCCGGATAAACACATCCTTAATTCCTGTCTTGTGAGTGCTGGTGTTCCACTGACCTGCATTGTTCCCAGAATTGGGAAAACTTTTTGGAAAGAAAAAAGTTTTCAGCTTGAAAAAAATATCTTGTATAATTTTCTTTGCTCAGTGTTACGGTGTCGGTACAGGATCTGCTCGGGTGAGGGATCGGCTCTGGGTCCTTCGACTGCCAGTGACGTCACATTACTGCAAATCTACTCGGCTTTCACACATACGTTTTGTTAATAAATTCTTGTTTGTTAACAAAAATGTTTTCTTTATAAAAGTAATTTGTTAATAAAACACCATATTATCTTTGTTTTGTAAAGAATGTGAAACAGCATAAAACCAACATCGGACTGACAAAAAAATAGAGCAGTTCTCATATGTGAAGCCATATCTGTTTGTATTAATGTGGAGTTCGTCTGTATATTTCCTTAGTTGTTATCTAAATACATTCTTTGACTCAAAATATTGCTTTGTGTCTTTCAATAAAGTTCTTATATTTTATTTTGCCCCATTTCATCAACATCAAGAGCTTTTGAGGGTCACCGTTTATCATTTGCTTGTATTTTACATTTCCTTTAGAAATTCAAACATATTTTCTCCAAACACTGTTGATTTTTGGACTACAGGACTACAACCGCTAAAACTACGACCGCAGATTTGTTCTGACCAATCAAAATCATAACGTGATAACGTAACTTCCATAAGCTTCATGTTCAGCAGCCAATCAACTACTTTGACGTCATCGGCAGTCGAAGGACCCCAAGCCGATCCTGCACTCGAGCAGATCCTGTACCGACAACGTCAAAGTGCCACCAGAACTTCTTCCCTCACTGAGCCCAATTTTGGTGGATTTTTGTTTTGCTGTAAGTTTTCTTGTCTAACCCCCCCCCCCCCCCCCCCCCCCACCCTTCTTCCTCTGTTTTCTCTTTTCACTCCCAGGGGCTGGAGAATCTGGGAAAAGTACCATTGTGAAGCAGATGCGAATATTACACGTGAATGGCTTCAATGCAGAGTAAATATTACTGCTTTTTTATATTTTTATTTGGCATATTCTCACAAACTCAACACATTTATTCACTCAGTGAAGAAAGTTTATTTTTGGGGTCCGTGCACATTTTATTCACAAAAATTGCATTCAAATAATAAACATTTATTATATTAATATAAGGACACCTAACATGATGGACAGAAAACATCAGCCACTGTATCTGGGTCAGTCCGGTCAGTCCCCACATCCTCAATATTTGTTGTTCTTTTCTTCTCATCAAAAAAAAAGGATGTTAGCAGTAGTACAGGCTAGCATTAGCAGTAGCTTGGCCATCTACTGAGACCAGAGTTTATATATTACTGACGTAGAAGTGGGTTGTGATATGTGAACTTAAGGTGGTGTGTCTCAGCTGATGATGCTTTATTGCAGCTTTTCTCAGAAGATACCATTTCTCCTTGGCTTCTACAACATTATTGATTTACACAGGACAGCAGGTTGGCGACGGCACAGGCTTTTGGTGTGGTACATTAGACCAGTGGTTCCCAAAGTTGTGGTTGACACCCCACCAAGAGCTACACAAGGGGGTCTAGACAGTTTTCCAGAAATGAAAACAAAATTAAAAAACAATTGCTGAAGCTACTTTTCAAGCATATTTGTTACAGAAACTCAACTAAGTGGTCATAAATGATATTAGTTAATATGAGTGGAAGCGGTTTTCTTTATTTCCGGAAACATTTAGCTTTTTAAGCATGTTTGTGTGTCTTGGCAATTGCTCTTTGGTGGGTCTGAAGCTGACAGTTTGGAACAACAAGGTAAACACAGTTCTGGATTCTAGAACCCCTTTAAAGGAAATCCTTGTCTGAATCTGAGATGAAGCCAAGAGGAGGGAAAGCATTGTCTCGTGCTGTGCTGTCCTCTTTGACTGATATTTTCAGAGTAATTTTGAGACGTTACACAGAAAATATTCAGGTTTTAATAGACCCCCCCCCCCCCACACACACACACACACACACACACACTCACAAACGCACACTTACCACCACCACCACCCTGGGTTCAAAACAGCCACACTGTCTTGTGGATTTCCTCCCAAGTTGGTGCAATGGAAACCAAAGTCACATTTTTCTATTCTTGGTCATCTGTTTCTTAGAAAGGCTCTTTGAGTTTGGAGCGTTATTATCTTATCATGTGCTTGGTAAACAGACCCATCTCATCCGGGTGCTCCAGTGCCATGAAAGCAGCGACTTCTCAGTTGTGTTTAAATTTTAGGGTTTGCTGCAATTTTGGGGGTGGGGGTTGTGTCAGGCCAGTAGCAGTCACAGGAAGGTGCTGATGGGTGACACAGTAATACAGGAGAGATGGGTGAGCCATACAGAATGGGTGAGGTGAGGTGAGCTTTAGTTCACTTTAGTTTTCATGCTGATTTCTCTTTTTATAAATAAAATTAGAAATTTGACCAGATCCTTTAACAGTAACTGAAAATGTTGGTGCACATCTACACCTAAACATGGTGTTAGATTCTGGTGCAGTGATCACAACAACAATAAAATGGACAATTGAACAGTTCTGTGCAAAAGTTTCAAACCACCTTTCTTTGTGTTAAAACCTCCAGACTTTCTATCATTATTTCTCTACACTTTCTTAAAGGAGTAATATGTTAGAATTTTACAATGAAATTATAAGAAAACTGTCTAATGTCTCAATCGTGTTGAAAGAAGGTTACATTAAAACAGATTTCCTTGTCAGTCTGCTGGGGGGTTGTCTGATTTTCTTCTTTCAAAATAGTCAAACAGCAACAGTTACTGCTTACAACCAGCGAGCTTGTGAAGTTGCAGAGTCTGCGTTGAGCTAACTCAGCAGTTTATCTGTAATTTGACACCAGCCGGCAAAAAGCTACAGATTGTTTAAAGAGTGGAAGCCAGTAAACAGGAGCAGCCAAGAAGTTATTTCTTCTAACCCTAAGAAGCCACAGCATCTTTTTGTTTTACTCTAGAATCAGGTAAAGCAGGCTAACGTTGAGCTAACAATGCTAACAGTAAACTAGAATCAAACAGTCATCTCTAAAAATATCTCAAGCTACAAGTGAATAATGAGTCAATCATGGCGTTTTACTTCCTTTAACAAGTCGTTCAGAACTAACAGCAAGACGGCGAACAACTCTAATGCCGGAGGCATACTGCCGTATTAAGTGTAGTAAGTGCTCCCTACCATAAACTGCTAACACCAGAAATGAAAGAAAGAAAGAAAACAATCTTTTATTTAACCTCTCAAGATAAAAATCACGAGGCACTTCACAAGAACAAAAATGAAAAAAGATAATAAAATATAATAAAAAATGACAATGTATTTATCTTCTTATTAACTTATGTTGTTATGACTCATCTTTGGTTGGCATCTGGATATTCTGGTTCTGATCCTTAACTGGAAACAGCCATGAAACTCACGGAATGAGAGTGAGAAAGTAGGAAGTCCCAATACAACTTTTTCATTTCTGATATGATACCGATATTGCAGCCTTCAGTATTGACAGATACAGATATCAATCTGATACGATATCAGCACAAATCATACATACTACCTATTTCATAGTGTGAAATGTATGAAAGGGTGATTTTACTCAATCTGAGAACAAGAGCCAATAACACTAAGTATGAAAAAATGACTATTTTTTAACCACTGGTTGCCAAAATGTGAACCTTAACGAACTGCTTATATCGGAGATTTTTGATGCAGTCTGATGTAATCTGATACGGTGTTTCTGGGCCGATATCGGAATGTGACATCTTACGAGAAAGTCACTTTTTGTTTAAAAAATGGACTTCAATAACGAAATTTGACCACAGGATGTCATTCGTACTTCATTCTTACGTCATGCACCTTTAAAGCCCTTTAGCTTTAGTCTTTGTTTATTTTGCCGCTCGTGTTGTGTCCACTCCTTGTAGTAAAATAGAAACAAATTGTAGAAAAATCAGGCTTTTAGAAATGAGATGAATTGTCTTTGATAAAGTGTCCATAAGTTTTCTGTTGTGTGTCGATACAACGCCAGGTTTTCCTTTGAGTTTAGGAGTCTTTTATGACTGGATGATTCATAGGTCAGAGCTAAGTGACTTAGCTAATTAAAAAGCGTTTCTCCGAAAATGGTCTCTGCATGCAAAAGGAGCAAAAAAAAATCTGTGAAAATCCAAAAAATATTTGGATATTCCATGATTTCCACCAAAATAACGTCAGATTTTTGGGTGCTTAGCAGAATTTTCACAAACACAATGCAATTCTTTAGCTCAGTGTGGAGATTAAGTCACTGAAGGCCTCCACTGTTACTTCCATCTGGGAAGTAGTAGTGAAGTTTTCTCAACCTCTTTGCTGCCGTGAAAGAACAAAACATAGAGCGAGCCATCGCTTTGTGATCGCCAACACCTCAGGCTCCAGTTGGTGCTCACCCATCTAAAAGTAGTTGAAACGAGAATATTCCTCCATGTTCTGCACTCAACTTTTACTTTTTATTTTTTTGGATTTATGTCATTGTCAAAATGTAGCCATGTTCTGCTGTTCTCATTTGTTGTCAGCATGGAGTTGCTCTTACTCAGCAAAATGCGAGTGTGCGTGCATCTGGAGCAGCCTTAACACTGATGTCAGGTATAATTTACCTCCAGGCGGATGAAGAGATCCAGGAGAATCGCGCAGCATTCACACTCAGGCCCTCTGGCACAAGGACCACACAAACACAACACCAGCTTACATTTGTCAAACTGGTTCTTTTGTAGAAAAATAACACTTTGTGTTGTTATTACGACCACATTTGAATGTATAGGTGTTGCTTGTTTTATTTGTTGACTAAAAACATAAATGTTTCTTTTTTGTCACAGGGAGAAAAAACAGAAAATCCATGATATCAAAAACAACATAAAAGAAGCTATAGAGGTAAGAAACAAGTCTATGATGAGTCTGAGGCTTTTGTGAATCATCTGACTGGTTCAAGGCAGAATGTGTGTTTATTTCTAGTAAATTAGCTTCTTCTCTTTTGTTTGGTTTGTTTTTCCTCCCAGACGGTCGTGGCGGCCATGAGCACACTCACGCCTCCCTGTAAGCTAGCTTGTCCTGCAAACCAGTTCCGGATCGACTACGTCCTGAGCCAAGCAAGCCAGAAAGATTTTGAGTTTCCTTCAGTAAGTCACACGGAAAATTCCTCACATTTTCCTCTCATTCACTGTCGTATATGAGGTGAAACTTTTATTATCTTCCATTGAGTGACACCAGATTCAAAAAATTGCTTAGTTCTATTTGTTTAATTTGAGCCTTTAGCTCACTTTCCTGCATCAGAATACAAACTGTGACGTAGATTTGCACGTTTTCTTAGTGACTCTTGTGATCTGTCCTCAATAATCCACTCGTTTGACAGAAAATAATAGTTGAGCAGCAGAAACAAAGTGCAGAATTCTCCTATTTTGTTGGTCAAAAACAAAAGATCTTTAATGCTCAAGTTTATCAAGGAGCTGTATTCTTCCCTCTGGAAAGCCCCTCTGGGAAATTCAGTTTCCCGCAGCTCTTATTCGACTAAAAGAGAGAGAAAAATGCACTAAAATAAAATTAATACAATTTATAAAAACAATATAAGAAAAAAGGGGAAATATGAACATTTTATCGGTAGTATTCACCCCTAAAATATATTTTATGCCAAAATCAAACGCAATTTGAGGAAATTACTTTTTTCAGAAATCTGAATATACGTCTGAATACTAGGGTTTTAGGAGGATTTGAGACATTAAATTACTAGATTATATTTGAAATAATATTTCTCATCCCTAAGACTAAATGAGTAGATCCACAATAAACAAGGTTGTACATTTGGAAGAAAACAAACCTGTATAAGACAGAAAGAGCTGATTCTTCTCTAACGGAGGAACCATTATACAAAACAGAAAACTCAGAGCAGAATCACATTTCCAACTCCTTATCTATCCTTCTAACCCTCCAGATCCACTGCTGTCATCTATTGTGGGATTTCTGTACAGGACAATTAATACGTTTCATTTTAGAATAATTCATCAGGGTTATTGCAAGTGTGTGTTTTTTAATGGAAAAATAACCTTCCTTTTCCTCCCGTACTCTTTAACTGCCAAATTGTGATCCTCACCATCGCTTCACCAGAACATTTCTGGTTAGCCCTGTGTGTGTGTGTGTGTGTGTGTGCGTGCGTGCGTGCGTGTGTGTGGTGTGTGCATATGTGTGTGTGTGTTAGGAGCCCTTGTGCCTTTTGTTTTCTTTAATATTAGCAGGTGTTCTTCCGCTTGGGAAGCTTTCAATTGAATGAACCTCTCACCTGAGAGCTCCTCGCCGCTGATTACCTGTAATAACATAAATGTATCCGGAGGGACGGGGCATCCAGACACAGAGGGATTCTCCTTGAGCTGTAGTCAGATTCTGTCGTTTGACCAGATATTCATTCATTTATGAACCGGATTAATGGTGATTGGAGGATAACACATTAAAAATGGTAATTTTATCTGTAATCGGCAAAACCAAGTGGAAGCTAAACTGCAAGCTAAAACCACAAACTCATTGTCTCTGTTGGTAATAACAGTTGTTCGGGTTTTCACTTTCGTTACTGGCTTATCAATGAGACTGTGCTCCTTACTAACTAGTCCATCCATTCACAAAAACTCAGTACTCCAGGCACAAAAACTGTTATTTAAATCAATTATTAATTATGTATCTATTGCCGTGTACATCAGTGAGACCCTATTTGAGGCCTGGATAGTTGTTTGTATATAATTCAGACGATTTAATCTGTTATTTCTTTTATTTGAATAAAATTCTAGTTACAACTCTATAAAAATTCTAGCCTGGCAAGCCATCCTATGTGACCGTAGGACAACTGGGTCCTGTCCAGTTGCTGTCCACTCAGTTGGACAGTGCAAGGACCAGTCAGAGCAACGAACAAGGTGACTTATTTCATCGCAACGGAAATCAGTCAAGAGGGAATTTACACCGTCAAAGAAGAAGAAGCAAATTCAACCTTTTTTTTAAAGTTGGTGACTTAGTACCTCTATCTATCTCAGGGGTCGGCAACCGGTTCCCATCAAAGAGCCATTATTACCCATTTCCCACAGTAAAGAAAAAACTGGGAGCCACAGCAGCCGCAGCGTTGTGGGCGGGGCCTACCCTCAGACAGGCAGAGAGCTGCTTTAACCAATCACAACAGGTGACAGCAGCCAGTACCGGTCGATCGTGTACGTCAAAAGTTATCTTTCATAAGACGATAATCAATAAAACGATTTATATAAAGTGGATCCAGAAGTTGTAGCCCGTCTCTGCCTACAATATTTTGATATTTTTCAACGTTGGTGGTTTTACTGAGCAGGTGCCACTTTTGTCATACGTTTCTTTTTAAAACATGTTTAGACTGTTCAGAATACAAATCCAGGCTCTGTCACGTTTGATTGTTGTAATTAAACTTTGTAGGTGGGGAAGGTCAGAAAAGGATCCGATCATTTGTTTTTCCCTCATTTACAGTGACGGAGATAACAGTGCAGTGAGCCTGGCTCTGGTGTTAATCAAGTTAAATTATATCTCTTTGCAACAATTTTCACAAGAAAACAGAACAGTTAAAAGCAGGGCTTGTGTCTTGACCGGACAGTTCCCGTATTTGACCGTTTATTTTGACGGAGAAAGAATAGAAAGAATTACCCCGACGCATGCAGACGAACTGACATTTTATTCGTTACGCACATCGCAGATGTAGCTAAATCACTCAAAAAAGATTCCCATCTGAACATCTGAGCTGGACACCGCTCAGCGCAGCCCACTGTCAGCGCGTACGTACGGTGCCAAGTGAGCTGAAGATGTGGAGAGGGGCTTGGAGCGCGACGCCAGAACCAGAGCGCATGCAGGAAGATTCCTCCGACTGAAGCGAGACTTGTCACTTAGAAAATGTTCCCTGATTATGAAACTTTGGCTGAATAGCGCTTGTTCCTGTCTCCAGTGTGGCGATACATCCAGGAGCCGTCTGAGGAGAAGTCCAGAATCTCACATCCTCGTCAGCTCAGAAAGCGCCGATATGATTACGCACAAGCGTGACGCGTCAACCCGGTCTCACAGTAAGACCGGGTTGGACCTGTTCAGGTTTACGCAGACAATCTATACACCTTAGAATTGGCATACAGATGTAAAATTAATGCAGTAAAATATAAGCATTTTATTTAAATATCCATTAATTATTTTACAAGCACAGAGAGCCGCATCAGATGGATGGAAGAGCCGCAGGCGGCTCCAGAGCCGCGGGTTGCCGACCCCTGATCTATCTGCCTCGTCCTTGAAGAAAAGCCCAAGTCTAAATTGTCCAAAGTTGTTGCTATAACCGTTTCAAGTGAGCGCCATTCCTGAGCCGGCACCATCTTTGTAGTTTTTCCCCGTTGCACTGCTAGTGCTAAGCCCGCCCAACGTCTCTCTACAGCAGTGCTGTGATTGCTGGACCTAAAATTGCTCTGGCCAGTGGTATCCCCTGCTGAAGCTACAATGGAGCCTGGCTGGACCGACCTGCAGAGCAAAATCTTTTATTACGGCTTACAGTTTGTCTAGACATCTACACTACTAAATACAATAAATTACTTAGTATTTACTTGTCCAAAAGAAACTTTACCAACTCTTCATCTGTTTTGAGCCCTTGCAGATCTCAAAGCCCCTCCATCTTTTAAAAGTGTCTCCGATGTAAATTCTACTCAACTGTTGTAAACGTCTCATGGCGAGCTTTGCAGAACTTTTAAACGGTTTACATTTCCTTTGATAAGTAGAAGACAGTTTTTGTTTTGGTTGTTCCATTGCAAACATCTGGCTTCATCTGGCGTAGGGCTGCACAATGTTAGGAAAACCTGCGATGCACAATAACAGTGATTAAGATTGCGATGATGATATGACTTGCAATAAATAAACAAAACAAAGAAATTAAAAATTAAACACTGACTAAAAACATAATAAAAAATGGGGGAAAAAAACAAATTGTGATAAAAAAAAAGAAAATGAACAAGAAAAGGCAGTCAGTGGATCTTGGGAAAAGCAGAATCGGCAGAAAGAGCAGACAAAGCTAACTCAGGTCTTTACTAGCCATCCAAATTAAACTCATTCACTGCCAGCCGTTTCCTGATCGCTAACGGCCTTCGCTGCCAGCGTTTCTCACCGTTTTTACTGTTTTTTGAGTCACAGAACATTGCGCGCTAGGATTATGTCGACGCCAAAAGAACAAAAACAAAGCGGAGACTCACCTCTTACATTCAGAAGAATACATGTGTTTCGAGCGTTATCCGTTCTTTTCATAATCCGTTGTCGAATTGTGATCGGCAGACGCTTTTCCGGTTCGCGCCTCACTTTTTTTTACAGGAACGGCCCAAAACGATCTAACACATGGATAGTCTGCTTCCTGGTCACGTGACGTGTGACGTATGCGGATGAAGATCGGCTCAGGGCTGAG